GAGGACCGACGGATGAAAGATGATGATAGAAGGGCTGAACCTAGAATGATGCCAGACGAGCGAAGGCATGCAGAACGCCGCATTGATGATCGACGCATCATGGATGATAGGAGGCTGTCTGATGAGAGGAGACCATCTGACGATAGGAGGCTGGAAGACTATCGAAGTAATACTGGTATCGATACACTGAATCCGTCATATAGGCAATTGAACAATATTCCTTCTCAGCCACTGCCGCTGAAGGATGCACGAGACTTGGATCGTGGTCGAGATGATCGACACATGTATGACGATGGATATAATAACAGGAATAGGAATACTAGCTCAAACAAAGTAGACCGGTATGATTCGAGTAGGAGTGACGGAGGGCGTGGTGACTATGACCATCGGCCACCATATGATAATGAGCGTGGTCGAGGTCCTGGTAACAACCAGCAGTACAATAATATGGATTCCAGGAATGGGTATGATGGCCGTCAACTCTTAGATCGTAGGTCTTCATATAGTGTTGATAAAAGAGATGGTAGCAGAGGAGGAGATGGTGGCGGACGAGATGATCGACGATATAATGATGATCGTCGTCGTTGAAATTGTGGTGGCAGCTTTGTGTAATTTTTAGGACAGCCGTAGCCGCGCATTTTGTAGAAAGATGGGAAGTGAAGAGCTTCATACATATACTTTGCACAAAGAATGGATCAAATCCTTGGAGCATTATTTTGGTCTGAGTTCTGATTATGCAAAACTTACAACTTAACGATGGCCAGTCTTACTGTATGATGGTGATTTTATGTATGTACATGAGGGATAAAAGTATTGTTCTTGGTTGATTTATTGATACACTTTATAACTATCTCACTTTTAAACGACTTTGAAAATTCTACTGTTTTGTATAGGTTTTTGTAGGTTCCCAGCTAGGATTTCTGGAATAAACTTGGAATGAAACTGTCACACTTGATGTTCAACACTTGGACTCTTTTAACAGTACTCGGCAACTGATGCAAGCATCAATAATAGGGCATCCGAGTGATTGACTTTGACGTCTGTCTATAAGCATGAGATCAGTTATGTTAGACGGGTTTCCTCATAATATCAAAGAGACAAAAAACTTTTATGGACGTCGTTCGTATGGTCACCTTATTAAGCCTCATCAACTCCTGATCAACAAACTTGACCACCCCATCACTCTTCAAAACATCATCATAATGCTCGACTCCCATGCTACTAAACTCATCATCATACTCGAAATCTTCCACAGAACCAACATCAATCGTAGTCGACTCATCATAAGACTCGTACTCTTGATTATCCTCATCCATCGAATCATACGCATCAGCAAAAGATGAATTGAAGTACTTTGCTGGAGTGAATTTCAATGTGATTTTAGGGATTGATGGATGTGATGCTGGTGATACCGCTGCAGTTACAGGCTTGGATTTCTTGGATGTGGTGGATGAAGTTGCTGATTTAGGTGATTTGGGACGTCGGTGTGGAATTACAGAGGAAGGGATGGCTGATGGGGAGGCGGTTGATTTTCTGCGTTTGGTAATGCGGAGGTCGAGTTCTTCGGTTGAGGTGGTTTGGGAGGCTGCGATTGTTGAGGCACGACGTTTTGGCATGCGTTTTGGTTGCTCTGAGATGTCTGGTTTGGGGGTTTCTGGGTTTGCGATCTATGTCAATATAGACCGGGTGAGATTTTGTGGGATTTCATTGAAGTAGCCAAAACAAAAAGCAGCCAAAACAAAGGCGGCACGTCCAGCTCCAAATTGAGATTTCGTCCATCTTCACGTAACAATCATAACAATAAGACCACAAAGTTCATAATAACACATACCAAAGTCTTGCGAGTCCAAGCAGCCGTCTCTCTAAACCTCCTCTGCGTCTCCCTCTTCTCCTCATACGTCATTGGCGTCAACACCTCAGGCGATCGCAGGCCCGTAGCCAGATCAGGCAACTTGGCCTTCTTCATATACGATACTCCACACCGATTGCACAGACGGGGATACTCTTGAGGTCCAGACCTCCACTGGTTGAATTTATCAGATCCACACCAGTCGCATACAATATCTAGAGGACTTGCAGGGAGTTCATGAGACGATAAAGATTTCTTAGATGGTGTGGATGCAGTTGCTGGTGGTGTGAGGACGTCAATGGATGCGGGGAGTGTTGAGGTCGAGTCAATACGGGAGAGGGGTTTTGCTTTGCGGTTTGAGCGGCGTGAGCTAGCCGATGCTGAAGCTGAGACTGGGAATGGAATGGATGAGACTGGGAGGGAGGAGATTGGGATTGCTGGTGGTGCTAGTGATACAGGTTGTAAAGCGGAAGGAGCTGAGAAGTTTCGCTTGGTTGATGATGGGGTTGATGGTGTCATCGGTAGGTAGAGAGGTTCTGGCATGGCTGATTCTATATAGAATGACGAGAAAATGTTAGCATAAAAGGGACAACGCCAAGTCAAGTGTTGTTGCGAAATAAGGTAAAACGAGATTGGAAATGAGCTCCGGTATGAGGACATGTAGCTCCAGGAGCTATTCATGATGCTTCGCTTGCACCGGAGTGCTTCAAGCTCTTCCATCATCATGTTATGATGGAGCTTTTCAGCCGATGAAAATCAAAGTCTCGCACCTTTATTCAATTGTCTAGCCAAGATGGGCATATGAGAATGGATGTTGATGACTGGCATATTACACTCTTCCGTAACTGGATACTTGAACTATTCAGAAAGAGACGATATCTTCATCAGTTTGTGCACTTGCAACACACAGTGAGTTTTGCTGCATCGCAGTCCAGTTCTACTCCACATACCTTGATTAAATGAGCCCCTGGTGTATACAGACGCGTTATAATGAGATAAACACGTTTAGTTTTGCTAGTTTGTTAATGCCTTGGTGCTGAACTCGACGTTTCCTGTGGTTTTTGAGAGTGTGCACGATTGACCCTGTGTTTGATTGGGACGAGCCCACTCTCCGTGAGTTTTCTTGTGAGAAGGAGCTGGTGTGAGTCTTGGTGGATGTATATACGCGTTCCGACTCGATGGCCTGTTTGAATGATCAGGTGCAGCTGTTGTTGGTGCAGGAGAAATTAATCACTAAGTTTGGGAGTGAGCGTCATAATGTGATTTAATTGAAGTTTGGTCGATTTGATAAATGAAGGGATGATTTGAATGGTAAAGGGACGATTAAAGGAAGGATGTACGCGAATGGTCATTGTTGGGACTAAACCTCTTTACACAACACTCTTTTGGCTTCACTCGCAACGTATGGCTGCCAAGTTCGCATAAAATTAGAATACAATACATTCACAGTACCTAGAATTATCAGTTTTAATGGCTCTGGATCCTCATATAAGCACAATCTGTGGAATTTCATGTCAGAAACGCTTGTTGCGGCGATTTTTTGTGCCAAGTGCCAAAAAGTTGCTACCACGTTTGAGCAGGAAGTGAAACAAGGTAGTTGAGACAAGAAACCGTTTCTATAGCCATTCTATTTCAAACGCTTCAACATTTTAAGAGCACCTGCTGGTCTTTGTATTTGCTTGAGTTTGTTGAATGTTAGGAACTAAACATTCATTCAGCTTGTTCAGTTTTGTAGTCGAAAATGAGAGGGAGACAGTCAAACAAAAGATGTGCCTGGACGTGCCATTTATGTGCTTTCCCTATAAAATATTGCCACAATAGGCTTATCGTGCTGAATCTGTACAGTTGGACAAGAGCTCGACATTGGACGATATTTCGTGTTTTGGGCGGTGTTGGAGGCCGAATACCAAGCCACATTATGTCCTGAAGCTCTCTTTAACAAGGGCATCACCAGCACAACCAGAGCGAGTTTCAGTTTGGGACCTGAGAGCTGCATTATCAGCACGCAAGCCCTTAATTTCATTTTCCATAACTCGAATTTGGTAATAATTGTTACGCAAGGCTTCTTGCATTTGATTCCACTCAGAAAGTTGAAAATTTGTATATGCTGCCAGAACTCCGTGATAAGCTGGGCGACAAAAACTCGAAGTCTATATCGAGAATCATGATAACGAAAAGCTGTTTGTTGCAAAAGAGAGTTGAAAAGACGCAACTTTACCGTATAGGAGTCAAAACTATATCGGACTTGCCCCATGAAGAAATACCCATCATGAAAGTCATGGCAGTGCACATGTTGATGTGAGTGACGCAGATTTTTCTAGCACTCTCGATCTTCATTGTGAAGAAATATTCACTCGGTGGCTAGATCAAGAGGAGGATTCAACTTCGCGTCGAAGATTGCCCGAGTCTCAAAACAAGCAGCTTACAACAAATTGTGAACGGTACAGCTCTCGTTGGATGTTGTAGATCATCGATGCAGTCAAATCTTGAGGCCAAGGACGACTTAAAGCGAGATAGCATTTCACGCAACAATCGTCGTAATCTTCAAACTGTGCAAGAGGAGAAGAGTAGTAAGTAGTCTCGACCCGCAGCAAGATTCATCCAAATACCGGCTTTGTTTTGCGAGATTTGGGTCGCATGTACCTTCGTCCATGAGCTGAGCTTGAATGTTGACGGCTGCAAATGTTGGTCAAATTTTGCTTTCGGTGAGGTTCTTGGCAGTTAGGTGTAGACGTGCAATTCACAAGTGAGCTAGCTTGTTAAATATAAATCGAAGTCAGCCAAAAGCAAAATGAATCAGATTATGGTCAACGACATTGAAACAAAACAAACGCCAAACATTGATCAAACATGGTCAAGTTCCCCAATTTAACGTGTGGACATCAATAACGAATTGCTTACCAGATGCTCCTTCTACGTATTCAATACGCAGATCCTTTGCTTTCCTCACTTGAACCATTGCACCTGTTTCAATCAGAGTTCAAACAGCCTGCTCTTTGCTGCGTCAAACCGGAGTCCAATTAATTGAATATGTGACCTTGTGTCTATCATTGAATATTTATGGACTCTTTTATACCATTTGTCACGTCCGCTGTTCAACAATATCGTCCATCAATTCTTCAAACTTCAAAAACACCGACGCGAGGCAATCATGACAGCCGACATGTTATTCAAGGAAGACGAAAGCGTATTATGCTTTCATGGGCCAATGCTCTACGAAGCTAGTAAGTTATGAAGCATCAATCGCAATTGCCCTTCCCTGTCGAAGCATCTTTTACTGATTTCCTTCCTCGTTTGTCAGAGGTCCTGACGGCCGAAGTATGGGAAAATCGCCCTGATGAAGAACAAAATGGTCCCGTAAGCCACCATCGCTCTCTTTCTGATCTCCAATCAGTACTATTTACCAACATCTAAACCACTTTTTTCGACCATTCATCTGCGCAGCATTACTTTGTTCATTACAAGGGATGGAAGCCAAAGTATGCTGTTATTACATTCCAATTATATTACAATCGGCAGCACATTCAAAGTATTGACCCTTGTCTCCTTCAACACCAGGTGGGACGAATGGGTTCCTGAAGAACGAGTCCTCAAAACCACCGAAGAGAATATGAAACGACAAGCTGATCTCAAAGCTAATGTCGACGGCGGAAAGAAGGGTAAAGGTGCTGCCGCAAAGGCCCCTGGTGCTGATGCTGAAAAGAAGGTCGCTGCCCAGAAACGTAAATTGGAAGAAATGGCTGCAAAGGTAAGATTGCGCAGAGACACGCAAATATACTGTGTAGTATCAATGCTCCTATATTACAGGAAGAAGAATTCGTAAAGAGACCGGAAATCAAAATACCCATTCCCGATGCTCTCAAAGTCCAATTAGTGGATGATTGGGAGAATGTTACCAAGAATGGGAAATTGGTACCACTTCCTCGCAACCCCACTATAACTTCACTATTGGAATCATATCGGGAATCAATCAAGACTAAAAAGAATGCTGGTCGTGATCTGTAAGTTTGTGTGGATGATGAGAACTTCAGTGGAAAAAAATGTTGTAGAAATGAACACAATAATTGGGTCCAGCCTCCTTCACACGCTTTTCCCATCATGTAACCTATTTCTTCAATCTTGTTTAGTCGAGCAGACGACATCGTCACTGAAGTTGTCGAAGGCATCAAACACTACTTTGAACGATCGTTGGGAAATGTCTTGCTATACCGACAAGAACGACAGCAATATCAAGAACAATTGAGGAAGAATGATTCGGGAAAGGCTATGGCTGATATTTATGGTGCTGAGCACTTGTTGAGATTGTTTGGTATGTGGGCGGATGTCTCAATAGCTTCTACTGGTTTTTGCCTACCCTTTCTCATGAATCGCTGAAATAGTTCAAATGCCGAATCTAATTGCTCATACTAATATGGATCAAGATGCTGCTGAAATTCTCAAGGATCATTTCGTAAACATTCTCAAGTAAGCTTGGATTCATAACGACCCCTGCCCCATTTTTTGAGCCTTTGTTGATCTCTCAATTATGTTCCTGCCACTTGATAGTTTCATGGCTCGAAACCAAAAGGAACTCTTTTTGGATTACCAAACTATATTCACAGCTGGCGAAGAGGCTCAAGCCGCTGGTAATGCAGGTGCTGCCGCAGATATTGAAATGAAGGATGCATAAATATCATACTCTTATCAAGAAGGGGGTTTTCAGCACTGGATAGAAGCTAGCAGTTTACACACACGCGCACATAGGCAACCTTTGTATAGATATTAAAGCGAAATAAAATCTTTTGTACAGCTAATCGTCGAATGAGTATGATAATGGTGTTCGTTATTTATGTATGCTCTTTTATAAAATCTGGGGTTTATGTACAAGGAGAAACCAGACTAAACCGAGTAACCATGCTATCGCAGCCCTCTAATGCTCCCTTGCAATGCTAATATAGCAGCCAATTTACGTTCCAACAATCCATCCAATTCTCGTACATACGATTCAAATGGAAGTGTCGGACCACGTCCATTCGTTGCCCCAACACTATTATTACCATCAGATCCTACTGCTGCTACTGCTACTGCAGATTCAGGTCTCCCCATCTTCATTGTGGCATTGACTAATAATCGACTTTCAAGTTTACCCAGTTCTTAACGAGAATATATGCACAATGTTAGTTATTTGGCGGTAACAACAATGTAAGCAAAAAAAGTCCTTCTTTAATAACCACCAATGGTTGGTGAACTCACCAGTAAACTCTCGTATATGCTGGCGATGTAATCGAATGAGGCCTTCGAAGTCCATCGGGACTTCAGGTGCTGCTGAGGTAGGAGTACTGGTCGATGCGACTGAAGGCACAACTACAGATGCTGCTGCTGTTGTTGTTGCACTACTAATACTACTTGGCTGAGCTAGATTAGATGGTGTTATAGGCATCACCACTTCAGTTGGTTTGCTCGCAGCAACCATGCCACCACTACCACCACCTCGTATAGTCGTCGTCTGACTTGTTTGCTGCTGTTGTGAAGAGGCTGGCCGTATAGGAGTCCCAACACTATTATTACTTGGACTACCACTACTATTACCACCACTCAATTTACCGACCAAGATCCCATTCAACTGTGACAAGATGCTACTTTTTTGTTCCTTGATGGCACTGGAAGCTACTGCGGCCGTAGGCTGTGCCACACTATTTCGATTATTAGCTCGTGGTGTCTTTTCATTGGCAGCGACGGATGCATTGAATCGTGATACAGCAGCACTATTGGCTGGTGTTTCAGGTGAAGAGTGGGAATCATGGCCGTCTACATCACTCAGTACGAGGTTATCAGGTGGGAATTCAGAGTCGAGAAGAAAATCATCATCTTCATCGACTGCTTGAACCGTATTTGTAGCGTCAATGTCTCCTTCGTCTTCTTCGTCATACACTTCTCCATCAAGGAGATCTTGATCGTCATCATAGTCATCTCGACCATCAGATTTGAGTTCTTTGACTCTATAGATCAGATATGGGTCGATTAGTTCATGAGGTTTTTTTGTTTTCAAACTCAAACACCAAAGCTTACCTGTCAGCATATCTGAGAGTATTGAGTGAGTGCTCGCTATTCGCCATGTTCGGAGATATCGTGGCGACCATACAAGTCCTTGAATCTCTACAAAAATAGACCGGAATAAAGTCTGTTAGAATTGATCTGGAGCAAAAAAAGTGAGTTAGGAAACTACCCTATGAAGGAGTCTTTCAAAACCTGCGTCAATTTGGATTGTCTGAATGGAGTGTGTCTTGATTCTTGATCAAGAGCACGAATGCATTCCTTCAGAGCGAGCAGACTCTTGTTGATCTCAGAACCTTCCATACTAGCAACGCGTGAAATAAATGTGAGAGATGCATTGTGAATTCTCCGTCAACTATCTTTTTTGCACATACCGAGTTTGCTTGTCCGCATCACCTCGATCAGCACCACGTTCCGATCCAGCCAGATCAATAAAGCTGAACTTGCCTACGATACAAATCAAATTTGGATTCTCAGACCAACAGAGCACACGATATTTAAAAAATCTTTACCCTGCAAAGTTCGCTTCTTGTTTCGATGCTTTAGAGTAATCTGAAAGATGGCATGAGATCTTGATGAATCTGCATTTGCTCCTGTAGCACCCGTACTACGAGCGGTATTCCCAAATTCAAAGATTTGCATCAACTAGTGAACGATGATGGGAGAAGGAGTTAGTCAAAATGCGTGCAAAAGTTGGCGCATAGAGGCAATATAAGACTCACCTTTTCCACATTGTCGACCTCAAACTCTTGCAAACCGGTAATCTGGACTTGCTGTTTGCCATCTTCACGAGCAAACAGCTTTTTACGTTCATTCAACAAGTCATATAAATGACCTTGATAGATTTCGTAAAAGCTGGCATATGCCGTCAGGTGTTGATACTGGGTTTGCTTGAGGAGAGCAAAAATGTCACGAGCTGCAAGCACGTAAAGTCCTTTTGATAAATTGCGTTAAATTGGAATCTGCAAAAATAGACTAAACGGTGGCTCAAGGGAGACGTACCCTTTTCCTCATCCAGCATGGTATGTGTCTTGCCACTGCCAGTTTGACCACTACGATGACATTAATAATACGTCAAACGCTGACTTTGAGCACCCAAGCAAGCATTCCACCTACTAGGCAAAGCAAGTGGCTTTACCACCTCCGAAAATGTACTCTACTAGAGGTTGAGCAGTCCTCTTGTACACTTCCTCGTTGGTAGAATCCACATCAAACACTTCATCAAAAGTAAAGTGATGCTGTTCGACGTATTTCGTCAAGTCCACCTTCATCCTAAGAATAAGTAATGTGTGTTGGTAAGAAAATGATCAACATCGTAGCATGACCTTTTTTTTGCGCATTTACACACTTTGGTTCATTGATGGAGACAGATCGTCTCCCATTAACTAGTGCAATATCCACCTGTCCACTAGTCTTTTCTTTACGACTTAGAGGTCGTTTCCTTACACAAACTCGGATTCGAGCGTCCAAATCAGTGGGTATCCTGTTATTGCTACTAGACCCTCCTTGCTTGTTGCTCTGCTGATTACTGCTATTTGAGGATGTAGGCTGTACAGGAATACCATAAGCGTTGAGTAATGGTTGAGTAGTTCTTTTAGGAGGAGAGGAACCTAGTGATTTACGTGCTCTGTATCTCACGTTTGAATCCAATGTGTTATCTTCGTTATCGGATAATGATCGTGATGATGTTTCAGGTGATTTATAAGGTTCAAGTACATGGTCTTGTGGTTGTGCAGCATCAAATCCCATGGTTGATCTTCTCGATGGTGCTGATGTAGAGAAGACAGTGGCTGCGGGATATGAAGCGGGAGGATTTGACGGTACACGTTGTGGTGGGACTTGTGCTATTGGTTTGGCAGCTACTGAGGCAAAACCTTGTGATAGTCTGCTGTCAGGAGCGGTTGTTGCTGCTGGTATGGGAAAGTCGTCTATACACAAAAGGATGACGAGACGTGAGTGAAGGAACGTGCGGTGATCATGTATGTAAATAGTAAATCATACTCTTGAGCGATTGTATTAGCTGGAATCTAGAATGGAACTGGTGTGTGAGCAAAAGAATCAAAAAGACTCAAATGCAAGGCTTACAATCGTTTTCGATCATCCATGGAGATGACTCCAACCGACGAATAGTCCTAAATAAATGATTTATCAGCTTGCAATATACTCAAACACCCATATAAAGGCCTACCTGCATTGTCAAACTGCTGAGGGCATCCAAGGAATTGATGCCATGACTTGCAAAGTTGGCATAATAAGAATCTAAATAAGAGACAATCAGAGACAGAATGAGACAAGTATTTCTCAAATGAATTATGCATTATCCCATATCAAGTTTCAACATCATGTTCGTCTCTTAGGGAAAGGCATCAAAACTAGAAACTGACGATGAAGGAATTGCTCTGCTTCTAAATGGCAACTTACCTAGAGCATGTTGACGTAAAGATTCCAATAGGAGCGATGCCGACATGATGATTCAATATCGGATCCAACTCGTTCTATACTCTGTTTGCTTCAAGCATGAACAAGTTGCTGTGAGATGAGCAAAGACAAGAAGCAAACAGATCAAGTTTATTCAAGAATTGGACAGCAATACTATCAGTTTTGACGCGTCATCACGACATTGCCCGTACCCTTCCACGTCAACCTCTCCATAAATCCAATGTTTCGAGTTATTGCTGGCTGATACTGCTGCTTCTTCCAAACCTCTACAACGAGGAGATATCATTCACAAGTTTCATACAAATTGGTCACGTATTTCACTATATTTGGGACAAGCTACTCTCGCTTATTGTGGCTGTTTTTACAGGCTGGTTTTTCAGAAGCGGGGTTGGTGACAAGTTACAACCACCCTCCCTTTCTGGATTTTAGAAGGCACATTACACGCTTTCTCTGGAACGTTGTCTCGCACTCGAGCTCTGTAACCTCATAAGAGTACGCATCAGCCTCAATGAGCGCTCACGACCATGTCGTCGCAATGGCGGAAGCGAATGATGATACTCTACCATCTGCAACAACTACAAGCTCTGGATTCAGTTCGACCGCTGGTACTTTGGTCCAGGTATTTCATTCACATTCAATGAAGCGATGCAGCTTTAAACCTTGAGCGATTGCTTGTATATATTGTGTTACTCACCATCATCACCTTTCCACCAGGGTCGAGTTTCTCAAGAATCGCAAAGCAGGCTTGATGAGTACCATTGGATTGCTCCAACTTCTGAAGAACTCAATGCTTCCAAAACCAACTACACTGAACGTGAGGTCAAGCCTCCTTCTCTCGAATGGTACGTGTTGGACCATCGGTTGCCTCTCCATAACGAAAAAGAAACATCTCACAAACGCTATGGACTATTTATTAGGCTCTTCCGAAATCCATTCGCTCCCGTATTGGAAAACTCTACAGCCACAATAGTACAGTGGGACACTCTGCATAACGCCGCTATATGGGAAGCTGTGAGAAAGGGAGACCTGTTATCATTGGTGGCCCTTGTAGAAAAGTTTCCAGAACTATTGAATCAGAAAGGCGGTCAAGGAGAATCTTTGTTACACATTTGCTTTCTGGCTTCTACGAAAAAGCACATCCTCTGTGCGAAATATCTAATAAACAAGGCTCAAGAAGTTCAGCAGAACGGTTCAGTCCCTGGATTTAGCTGTCAAGAGTTCGTTGATAGGTACGCCTTCAATTTCTGTGTTTGTGCACAATTGAGGCTCTAATCCTTCGAGACAACCTTTAGAATCTACGACAAGGCAAGATATCGAGGTGAAACCGCCGCTCATTTGGCCGCTGCTATAGCTGAAGAACACGATGCCATAGAATGTATAAACCTGCTACGAACTTGTGGTGCTACGTTAGGATTTGAACGAGGTGCCTCTTACGACAAGGATGAACTTAAGAGACGACAGGACAGACGTGCTCAAGGCACCTTCTTCCAACGAGAAACAGGATCCCTGTATATTGGTGACTCGGTGCTCTCCTTTGCAGCTTGCACCAGTAAATTCAAACTAGTCCAGTATCTAGTGAGCAGTACAGGAAAAGCCTTAAGAGATGGGCATCTGGTTGACGATACAAGTGTATCTGGTTGTAATTTAGACATCGACCATGCCGACCAGTATGGAAACACAGTGCTACACCTCTTAGCTTATTGGAATCTGTGGGACATGTATAGGAAGGTAGTTGTAATTGGAGACCATGGAGAAGAATACGAATACCCCAATGATAGTAAACTAAACGCCAAGGAAGGTGATGATTGTCGCTTAAACCCTTTTTTGGTGGCCGTCCAGCGAGGCCATTTCGAGTTTGTGCAAAAAGCCATCAACTTTCATCGAGAACACTTTTGGTCGATGGGAGTTTGTTTCTCGTATGTATATGACATACAGGATTTGGATTCGTGGCCTACAAGAGCGCCTGTAGAAGAGACGCCCGAACCTCCTCATAAGCCACAACTAGAAACCTGGATGAATGAGTGTCAAGGAAACCCAAGTGCGGCAACCGCTGCTGCTTTACAAGGTTTAGAGACTGAGGTGGAACAGACACGAGCTATCAGGACCAAGCTCCGTCACTTCGATATAGACGGTGCTCCCGACGACGGCCAACAAGTCGAAATGCTACGCAAAGGACTGAAGCCGCACGAGTCTCAAATCCATTTTGAGCGCAACAAGGATCATCATTGGGAGAGCAAAGATAAACGGCAACGAAAGCCGTTTCTGTATGAAGTACCGACCCATAATGCCATCCAGTTAGCCTGTGCCAATGAAGACCGAAAGATTGCTTCCCATCATTTGATTCAAATGTTGCTCAAGGTCAAGTGGAATGTGTACATCTGGTACGCCAGTAACAATGTGTTGACTTTATCGAATCGTTACTGAGCACTTTCGCCTTTCTTATCGTAGGAAACTCTATGCGATACGATTCGTTATAACCACCATCATATTATCTCTAATGTCAATCGCCATTGCCATGCTGCCAGCAGATGGAGCAACGAGACGTGCCGAATGGTTTAATAGCTCTCACGGTGCCGTACGCTTCATCATTGAAGCTATTGTGGTAGCTGCCGCCATCGTACAATTCAGTGGAGAAGTGGTGGACTGGAGCAATAAACGAGTCGTCGGTACTCCAAATCTTTGGCAAAAACTATACAAGAGAACCTGGGCCCATTTTCTAGGCTTTGGTGGTACTAGAAACTCAATGCAAGTACTTTGGTGTTTGCTTGTTTTAGCTTGTATACCGTGTCGATTCGTGAATGCTTATGATGGCAAAGCTGAGGTACGTGTGAATAAGTCGTCACTGTATGGGATATCTACTGACTGCTGACATTAGGACGTGCTCCTCATCTTTGTCGCTATTGTTGGATGGTCTTACATCCTCACGTTTGCGTCAGCCACCAGAAGGCTAGGATCTTTAGTCGTTACCGTCACAGAAGTCGTTAAGAGATATTTGGTTTTCTGGGTCCTTCTTTGTAAGCCTCTTTTTGCAAAGAATCACAAAGTGAATGGTCGCCAATCTTATTGACGTGAATTTTTTTTTCATATTCGTTACAGTCCTGGTATTCTACATCTCTGCCTCGCTGGCCTGGCACATTGTAACACTTGATAGTACTGTGGATGGTGGCGAAGGATGGACTCATGCAGCTTCGTCGTTTGTCTATGCGATCCAGATTGTCTTGCAAGTTGGGAACTTTGCAGACACGCAACAGGCTGTTATTCCCGATTTAGCCGTTTTCGTATACCTATACTGGGGCGCTCTTTCTATAATTTTGCTAATCAACATTCTCATAGCTATGCTGAATGCAGCGTAAGTTTTTGGGTCTTTGATTGGATAGAAACAAGTCTCACTGTTACAACCACCTAGATACAACAATGTCCAAGCAGCAGGGGACGAGGGCTGGCGACTCCAGTTCGCAATGTTGTGCTTAGACCTCGAAGCTGGTCTCATTGGCAGCGCGCTTAAATCAAACAAAGGTGCCGACCAGCCAAAAGATTCCGCGAGTTATACCTTCACTCATGACGATATCGGCCAATTGGATGGGTTGGAGCATAAGAATCGTCGTAAATTGCTGTATGAGCAGAATCGAGCCAAAAAACCTGAGCCTGGGGTTGGTGATGTTGATGAGATATTTGTGGACAATGATGATGAGAATGTGCAGAGTGATGGGACTATACCTGTCAAAGTGGTACGTGCATTTGCACAGAATCAAGATACGATTTTCTGCCGACTAATTGCATTTTCCAACAGGTCTTCCATTACTTTGGATTCATACGGCCTTAGAGGTTTTGGCGATAGTCGACCGTGTGAGAACGACTGATATTATAATAATACTGCTCTTCAATTTTTACCATAATGAGGCCTACATAAATATATATTACGAGATTCTATATTAGGTATCGTAAGGTCATTTTCGACGTCATACAACTTATAAATCAGTTTGTGTATAGCTTCATCCCATACAGCTATAGCTATTGGAGTTGGCTGTGGTTCTTTGTGAGATGGATCACCCCATCCAAGCTGGTATTACTACTGGTAAGAATGGTTCTGCTGGTATTTGTGATGTTGATGATTGTGGTGGTTGTGATGGTGTATCAGTCAATATACCAGGTTGATCGGCATCTATAGTAGTATATTTCTTCTTTTTCCTCCTTGATTTACGTTTCTTAGCTGGAGAATTTGTCGTGTTCATTGTGTCAGGAACTTCGACGTGCCCCGCTTCTTCCTCTGAGCTGGCACCATCATTGAGTTTATTAGGTGCTACAAAAGTGGGCGGCTCTTCTGCTTCCTCTACTACTGGTTCTATCGTTATGACTTCGTTCGCAAGCTTTCTGCAGTGCAAGGTTTGAAAGATGACGCAAATAGGACTAGCAACATGAATGAGTGTCTGAAAAGAAAACTGACTTTGATCAAGTGATGAAGTATTGCAACGTATTCAGTGGCCATACTCCCTATGCCTAATTCGCATTCTGTGAAACAAGGCAGTATGTAGTTCCATTCTCAGCAATTTATGAGACTCTGTTTGTGTTGTAAAATTCCCAAATTATGTAAAAACGAAAGCAACCATTGAATTTTTACGTATATACACTTCTACCTCATCCCATACTCAACCCCATCATCAAGCCCTATTGTATTCAATTCCAACGAGACTGACTCTGACTCAACCCATTCAATTTAAGCATAGTCTCATTCTCTACATATGTGGATGGCACTACTGCATCATCATCGTCATCCCCAATCGTCATCATAGTACGATGTCTAGAAGCATTTCGATATGTTGTGTCATCAATATACGAAGCAGCTTCCTCGGTAACATGCCGATGATCATCGTCTAGTAGTCGTTGCATAGGTGCTAGTTGCGAATAGGATAGTGTTCGTCCTCCCAAAGTCGATACATCATCATCTGACGCACGACGACGTAAACGACGTACTATGGCTGCGTGTTCCACGGAAGCCTTAAAGTCAAAGCGAACATCTTGTTCAGTGAAGTTATGGTCTAATAAGTCTGTGGCTGTTGGTCTGTCTTCTGGATCCCTATTGTATGAACAAAAAAGGAGTTATATTTGATTGGTCTCATTGATTGACCGAAAAAAAATCGAATAAGAGGATAATGAGAGGGATTCTTTAGCAGACAAAATTCATCACCGGCATACATGATAAAACACTTGGCCAAGAAATCAGCAGCATCTGTACTCAAATCTTCAGGTATAGGTGGTGCATTCCGTTCACCAAGCTTCCACATGGCTTGTATCTCATCATATGCAGCCCACGGATGACTACCTGTCATCATTTCCAGCATGACACAACCTACAGACCATATGTCTACTTTGGCAGAGTATCCTCCTCGACTCTTGATAACTTCCGGAGCCATCCAAAATATAGAGCCTTGTAGAGACATCCGAGAGTGTGCTCGATAAACCATTCGATCATCGTGCTTTTTGGATATTCCAAAGTCTGAGATTTTGGCTACACCTTCATCTGTAACCAAGACTAAAGGAGGAGAAAAAGAAAGTAGCTTCACATCAGCATGCAATCGGTTGTACATGCGATTTTTTGCCCAACACAGAGGGCACAAACGAACACGCAAAACCATAAACCACTTACTATTAGCTCCTTTGATATCCCGATGAATAATATACCGCTCATGAAGGTATTCCAAACCACACAAAACTTGATTGACAATCCATCTCGACATGTCCTCTTCAAACTTGCCAACCCGTGACACTAGTGAAGTCACCGATCCACCAGACACATACTCCAAAAACAAGTTTAGAGTAGACTCATTCATTTCGAAACCAAGGTATCGGACGATATTCTCATGGTCCAAATCTTTGAGTAGTTCTACTTCTCGATTAAGTGCATCCTCCATTCGTCGTTTGGATTTAGAGAGAGCGTCATCTCGACTACTGGGTGCATTCGCAAGCATGCTATTGGTGTTATTGGTTGTTGCCGTGCTTGAGGCATCGCCCACCAAGCCACCAATAAGATTCATACTGCTACCATCACCGCTGGAATTTATATTGTCACTAGAAGTTACCGGCGCGGCTCGTGTACTTCGTCGGGCATTTAGAGCAACCTGCTTGACTGCAATCAATTCAGTCTTGTCGTTCTCTAGTACAAGGCCCATATATACAGATCCAAACGAGCCCTTGCCAATAAGTCGACCTTTCGTCCATTGCCATCGTCTCGGCGATGGAATTACAGGCGATACGCTCTCTGTAGATATAGCACTGGGAGGGCTTATATCATACTCCATGGAGGGTACTATGGCAGATGAGTCCGTCCAGTTCTCAACCATGGGCTCGGCATCTACAGGCGATACCGGGGCACTCCCAGATATAGCAATCTCGGCCAGTTTAGAGCTAAATCGTTGTGGGAATGCAGCTAAAGCTAGCGTCGGTGGTCTACTACTACCCACAAACGAATTCGTGCTTCGGGCAACAGCGGGCATTGAATGCTTTTTAGGCAAATCTGCAATATTGGGTGATGATTGTACAGACATGAGTCGTGTACTCTGCGTGCTCTTTCTGAAATCAGCCGAGTCTCCTGCAGCTAGTTGGACAGCAGCCCCTGTTATAGATGATGCTATAGGCATATTTTCCCATTGCTGGAAGAGCCATGTATCTTGACCCATAGATCTCACACGATCTCGCCATGTGGCAACATCGTCACTCGTTGATGACGTATGATTACCAGCATTACTTGACGTTGGCATTTGAGATAATGCTCGTTCATCTACAGATACTATATCTTGCCGTCTCGTGCTTCGTCGTTTCAGAGCTGTTTGAGCAACCACACTAGCTGTACGGGATAATCTACGCTGGGAAATAGACTCTGCTAAGCGATCTTTGACAGTTCTCCTTCTTGGCAGGCCATCAACGCCCAAACCCTCGAGATGAAGAGGCTCGATACTCGATGCTCTAAACGCCATATCCGATTGTACAGAGTACGACCTAGGCAGGAACCTTTCATCGCTACTACTGGTGCCGATACTTTGTTTGGTCGAATCACTATTGCTATTTGACATGTATTCGTCTGAGAGCGCCATCGGTTCGGGAGCAAACTCTTTTGGCAGATCAGGGAAATAATCTTCAAACTTGTCTACAATCAGCTCGGATGGAGGACGTTCAAACACAACATCTGCTTCCGGTGGTGCCAGGGGTGGTAGATATGATTCATCGTATTGTTGTTGTCCGTAAGATTCTAAATCCTGGCGTGGTAGACTAAGACGTGGTGCGGGTGGGAATGCTGGAATAACCGACGGGTCTTGTAGTCCATATCTATATGATCTTTGAGTTTCGGCTCGTGACATTTGAGAATCTCGAGAAGCTAATTCACGCTGCTGAGCACGATGCACTTCAGGGTCTGGGAACAGTTGTTCTCTCCGTAGCTGTATATTGCCTCTGAGTGACGATTGGAGTGATTTGCATATGCTCACAAGTTCAGCATCCGTTAAAGCGTGTGCTAATTGGATTGTTTGATGTTAAAAGGATACCATTGAAAAATGCAACTGGGGATTTTTTTGCGGCTCTTACCAACACTTCCAGCATAAAAGTGATAGAATGGCCTCTCATCAGAATGAATGTTAAACTGATCCAATACTCGTTCTCGTATTCTAGAAGCATTATCAGCGATATCCACCACTTGAACAATTTTAGCAGGTTCTGCACTCGTTTTACAGTCCACTTTGATGCATAGAAACTTTCTAGTTTCATATTCAGCATCGATTCCACCATCCTATTTGGCAGAAAATAATCAAGATTAGAAAATGATTGGGCTAAAGACTAAGGCGAGCGGCGAAAAAAACAGTCCAATGTAATAAGGACTCACACTAAGTGACACGTTCCTAGACTGAATCTTATTCACCATCTTCTCCAGGAAGCTTTGTGAAGGATTCGACAATGGACTGGTGACTTTAACAGCCGAGTTTGCTCGTGACTGAGGAATCACTCGATCATGAGCACTACTCAAATTATTATTACTAATAGCGTTTTGAACACCACCATTACTACTTTTCGGGGACGAAGTGGCCCAAAAGTTGCCATCAACAGACACGTCTGGTCTTGTTGAAGGTGGTGATATTGGCCCAGCATTACCAGCACTGCCAGTGCTACCTCCGCCACTGCCTCCCATTCCAAAGAATTCATTCATGGAAGATATAGCAGCTACATTATTTGGTGGCCGTATAGGTGGAGACTTTTGTTCTACTTTTCCTGATGCAGCAGTGGCGACTTGCGCCGAGTTTGTAGATCGTATAGAAGCAGATCTTTGACTTATTATTATCGGATGAGGAGGATCGATACGAAGTTTATTCAGATTTCGTCCCGACTTGTCTCGTGACAGTGTGCGTTGCAGTGAAGATGGTGAGGCATTGTAATCATTGATGCTACCGATACTACTACTAGCGTCATCCGAGTAATCGGTATGAGATAGTAGAGTCTCGCCTCTAGATAGCGAGTCCGATCTAGCGGGTATCATGTCCAATTCTGATGTTGGGATTCTTGGACTCGTTGGTGATATTGGACTCGACGTCTTTCGTGATAATGATGCTAAAATGGAAGGCACTGGTGGTACTGGCGGCACTTCATCTTCATATATGGCTGATACCAAACCACCTGGTTGCGATGATGGAGGTACACCTTCCATGACATTCGACTTTGATAATTTACGGCCTGTTCCAAAGCCCAGAAACTTTTTCAAACCAGTTGCTTCTTTGGGCGACTCAAATCCTGCTTTATCATTGCTTAACTTGCCATCTCTACCCAAGCTGAAACTTGTCGATGCTGGCAGTAATGGGGATCCACCTAACAAAGCTTCTACAGATTTTGATGCTCGTGGGCCCTTTGGCGGTGAAGGAGGCACCGTAAGAATTGCGTTTTGTCCAGAAGCAGCAGCCAATATCTGTTCTACAGACTGTGATTTACGCACTGTTGCTGAATCTCTAAAGCTACTATTATGGGTCGCACTGCTATTCGATCCTGTAGGCGATATGACTGAATCAGGACCTGTAGGTTGTCCTACTGAGGATGTCCGTCTCGGAAGAGCAGCTGTTCCTTCAACCCATGCAGCCCATTGGCCAGCCAATTGTGGTGATTCTGTAACTGAAGATGCACGAGGTAATGTTGAATACATCGATCCGTGCTGTTCGCGTGACGTTATAGATGATGGTGATCCAGTACGTGGGAATGTAGCCAATGCAGCGGCACTATCCGTCATTCGTTCAGGCGATCTCATCACGTTTCCACTAGAATTACTGGCACTGTTATTTGCAGTAGCTGGATTATCCCACCATGGAAGTTTCGAGTCACTCCTTGGACTGGGATTGAGCAGTATCGGTGGTGATCTTATAGAAGGGGCTGTACTATTATACGGAGGAGGCGAATCGGTCAAGTTCTGTACTTGATGAGCCGAATCAAGGCGTTGTGGAATTCGCTGCGTAGATGATGGTGCGACCGTACGGGGTTTACTCGTCGATGGTGAAGGTGAAGGTGACAAGGGTGGTGGTAGAGGCGACGTAGGAGTAGTTGCAGCGGAAGATCCAGGCGATATTGAAGATGTTATCGAGGCTGCAGATGAGGGTATACCTACACCCATAGCCAATTTCTTTACAGCCTGTAAGATGCGATGCCTGTCTCCGATGATGGCAATTCCCAATTGTTTCAAAGTATCCGATGTCAGTTCAGGAAGAATATCCCCAGTAACATGATTATCAGCAAACTGCTTTCTATATCTCGATAGACCCGAGTCGTCCAACCAGATGCCAACTTGGTCGACATTCCAGTCCAAGTAGGAAGTCTGTGATTTAGAAGTAGCGGAGCGAGCTAGATTGTCAAACATGGCATGCCTGTGGACGATATTCGTAGTGTCTGTTGATGGTATTCGTCTGTGCAGCGTTCCTTGTCTGGTTCCTAGCGAGGCATCATTTATAGACGATTGCGGATGAGTAGGAGCAGGTGGACGAGAGGGAGGGCCTTGCCCCGTCGACAACATTCTGTCCTCTCTCGTTGCTTTCTCTCCTCTATGAATATAAGGTTAACTTTCTCGGAGCTTGTTATTCTATGACCAAGCGAGGGAAGAACGAAAGATTTTAGATATAAGCAGGGACTAAAAGGATCTTGGAGGCTGCAGTTCCACTCAATTTCGTCACTATTAAACGTGTATGCGCCGTTGATCTCGTCTGTTTTACTGGGCTTGACAATACAAACCAACAACCAAAAGTGCTCAAGATCTGACGACACAAAAGCAACGTTTCAGCTAATTGTTTACGTTTAGATCTGTTAAGGATATGCTATATATATACTTCCAGAGCCAACCTTTCTTATACTGCTAAGAAGTTATCGGACTGGCCATACAATTATCAAGCCAAGACATTTCGGACTGTGCATCCCCAATGTCACAAGGAGAGTTGATCAGTTCCGATTTCAGGTCGCCATTCAGAGGCCAAGCCCACTTGGCTTATGCAGTAGGAACCCAATTAACAAGAAATTGGATTATCTGCGTCAGACAAATGCTTGATACAATGGACGACAACAAGAGTAACATCAAAATTGTGTCATTGCTTGATTCCAATTTAGCAAACAGTATCGCATAGCTCTACATATACTTGGCCAAACCTCTTTGTTCATGATTGTGTAACTAGTAATGTACCAGTCAGCTTATGTATTCCAACTTTGCATTGTCAACACTATCCCAGCTTCACGGATCGACACAATTTGGTGCGGAACGCCCTATATGATCTCTGTCGCCGCAGTGGTATTACTAGCAGGTTGGAACAACGTGTAAACTGTTGAGGAACGTCCACTCGGGGTAACGTTCTATCTATCACTTCGGCCTGCCGATGTCTGTTTGTTTGGATGGGAGGTTAATTTAGATGTATGTGTGGACGTCACCGTTGTCTTGCCGTTTGCATCTGGTCGTAATCCCGCCAGGGAGGATATTGGTGCTGCTGCTATAGAGGCTGCTAAGCTAAAGGTGGTGGACAAACATGGAAGGCCATGTGAGGCTGCTGGCCTTGGATTTCAGCCTTTCGCTTTCGATACTTTTGGCTTTTTAGCTCCCGAAGCTGTCACTATATTAGGTCGTATAGCTGCAACATGGGTCAAGTCTCAGTTGTTTGCGATGAGACGTTGTTTGCGATTGAGACGTATCATCTGCATTTGTTTTTTGCCGGATTGGGTTCGCTATTATGAAGGGTGTGGGGCTGCAGCTAACAGCTCGCATGAGGAAGGGGGACGCGTTTTGAGGGTTGTAGTAGTACTTTAGTTGTGCTTTCTTCTTTTCAGTTTGAAAAAATACAATGGCATTTGCGTTACCAATTACCAACACCACCAACAACCTTCAATGAAGGCTCAACTACCTCCGAGATTATATTGTCCTCGTCTCGGCACCACTTTGCAAGAATTGGCGAAGCTACTATATTCCTTGCATTTGCAGGTTTCAAAAAATAATTCAAAGCAGCAACCTTCAGAGATGAGTTGTCCCGATTATATTTGTTCGCCAACGACTACATCTCCAAGACGGTACCCGTGTGGATGTCACGTTACGAGATTTCCGTGACAAGTATGGTATACATGGGCTGCAAATCATAACAATCTGCAGCCTTGAATAGATCGATACGAAGTTGAGACTGTTCTGGCTTTGAGGGCAGCCATGTAGACACTGGTTTGCTATACATATAAGCCAACATCTTATTGACACATTCAGTGGAGTAGGTGACTTTGATTTCTCGACGGGCATTGACTTTGATGGCAGATACTGCGTTAGATGAATTGGAGTCTCGAAGCACAACGTTTGGAAATACTTTTGAGTGATATTTGAGCATAAGGCTATGTGCTGGGATGACTATCTCAGAATCGCTTGCTGTTATGTCAACGTCAGACAGATCGTCTTTGCCAGGGAAATCCAAGACTGTTGGTTGAGCGACATTGACAATCTTAATCGCGGTTGTTGATGATAGCCCGGTGTCCCTTCATCAACATAAAAAGCATCATCCTATTGAAATTTTTGATGTAAATGTGTTAATTGGATGTTTTGATCAAGATAGTGATGTTTCAAAGGAGGATACATTGCAAGTTATGATTTCTGAGAGACTGTGCTGTCAACATTGCAAACATTTCTGAAAACTTACACTGTACTCTCCATCTAGCGACGCTCGTACATAATTGAGTGGCTCCCATGGAAATCGATCTTCAAAGTTCATCTTCTTCCAACTAGAGTGTAAATTGAAAAAAGCTTGAATCTGCGATTGACACTTTTGCCAGCAAGAACGTGTACTTAAGGTGAATTGCGACGTAACAAGTATTGTAATACTATATTTTTTAACAATCATTACAATCGACACAAGTCAAAAAGCGTCTTGTATTAACTCACCAGCAACAACGTCAGACATCAAACAGTCAGAACTGATCAAATCTAATGTTTATGCTACTTGTTTCCGGCTTGATCTGTTCAGCGCATTCCATATATACGGTTCCAATTCTAAGCTGTGCAATTGTTCATGAAAAGTTCCAAGCTCACAACTCGTGAAATTGCACTTTGAAAGGTGGGCAGGACTGGGACCTCAAACAATAGGTCCTGGCTTGCACCAGTCACTTTTAGCATTCCAAGGCATCACTATTCGTACCGGTACGGTTCCGGTACGAACGTGCTGCAACTGATGTTGCGGTTGTCTGCGCCAAATGATCACCTGGCCTCCGTGTACCAAAGTAATTCGTGGAATCGAGCAATGAGAAAAGCTACATAGAGCTTCGGAATCGAGGATCAAGCATCATCTTAACGAGATGCACACTTCTTCTTTGCTCAGCCAATGACTTTACTTCGCATTCAGGTCGACGAAATCTCACCAACTGCCTAAACACGTGCTGGACCTGCTGAAGGAACGAAAGCCCTCCACCACACCTCGTCTTCCCATGTGACGACGGTGGCAGCAACCTACTCTCCCGAAACCACATTCTCACCATCGTGATCTTGAAACCACCGAATAATTATCATCTGTCATTCTGAAACCTTTTACTGCTGCATTCCCAAAAAGCCAGACACAATGCGGAATCTCTCCTTGTGGACCAAGGTCGCTAGACGAATGCTCACTACTGAAGCCTCCACCGTCATAGATGAGGACGTAAATTTATATAGAAGAGCTCATGTTGGGCTTCGAGCTACCACAAAGACATTGAAACCACCCAGAGGAAAAGTATTCCTCGCACACGGATTGTTCGGTTGGGACGTCATAAATATCATTGGTAAGCTACTAAAATCCTGCATTTTCCACATATATTTACTCGTAGAAGCAAGAAGCGAACTGATTACATTTGGACCTTCAAACCAAAAACACCTGTTGACACGCACCATTCCCAATTAACTAAAATACCACATATTTATATTTTTAGCTCCAAAGCAAGTACCATGGCTGAAACTAGAACTGAAATATTGGGGTGATATCGATACTTCCTTAAGAGACATGGGCGTTAAAGTTCACCTGACAAAGGTCCCGGCGGTTGCCGATGTTGCGTCTAGAGCAAAGGCTTTAAGGGCTAGTTTAGAACGTGTTACGGCTAATGGAGAGGAGGTTCATATTCTTGCTCATTCCATGGTGAGCAAGTCATGTATTCTTTGACATTTTTGAAAACGAAAATACTAACTGTATTTGAATGTAGGGTGGACTCGATGCTCGGTATATGCTTGCACATCTCCCCTCGAATCACTTCAAGGTGTCGACTTTGACAACGATTGCTACTCCTCATCGTGAGTCACCAAACGCAAAAGAGGGACTGGCTCTCTCCAACATGCTAACCTCTAGTACTTTCCTCACACCATCTCAGGAGGCTCCTCATTCATGAACTTTTGTCGAGACAAGCTTGGAGTTGGAAAGCAAGAGCTCACGAGCTCTGAACTCCAGAAGATGCAGATAACAAATGCCATCTCTGATGCTCTGAATCTACCGCATCCAAACAGTATGATTGGTGAAGGTGGTGTTGAAGGAAGGGCGGTTAGACAAATGAGTGTAAATCCTATAATACGAGCTATCTGCTCTCCTTTCGATCAGCCGGCTTACGCTAATTTGACAGTATGTGTTTTGGAGTCACATTAAGATTCAACGACATTCATGACTGACATGTTGTTTCTACTTTTTAGACAACATTCTGCAACGACATATTTAATCGATGTGTGCCAAACCATGCGGATACCCTCTACTACTCATACGCAGCAGTCTGCAAGGACATTTCCCTCTTCCATCCATTACGAGCATGCCACGATATAGTATCGAAACGAGAAGGAGCAAATGATGGACTAGTTTCGTTCAAGTCTGCTCAATGGGGCACTCTACGTGGTGTTTTAGACTGCAACCATTGGGAGATTACCAGTAGCAGCACAAAGACCAAAAGCTTTGACGCTAAAGGATTTTATAGATCAGCTGCTAATCTGTTGTATGAGGAAGGATGGTGATGGGAGAGATGGAGTTTTTAGATCTGTTGCTGCTCTGTTTGGTGGGGTTTGGAGGAACAGCGATATTATCTCAGATACCCATAAATTATCTTTTACCTTGGAATTACGGGTCTAATTATAGAGCGATCACTCATCGGTCGCCATTGTAGGATATGCCCATGCTTATTTTATTGTTATAGAGCCCTTTAATTATTGTAGAAAGTAACTTTAGAACAAGTTTATAGTGGACTTTGGAAATTGTGTGGTCAAGATCAGCACAAAACGTTGTGAATCAAACAAGAAAAGATCTGAATCGATTCGATACATAAATTATATTGAATTTGAACGTGTTCTATGTACAAGAACTATGTTAAACATCGTCAATGCAACCAAACTCAATCATCCTACTACCAAAATACACGAAAAGACAAGTGTTCCTCTGGGAAAGACCTTAAATTCACGTGGAATGTTGATATTATGCATGGTTTACTTAGGAATAGACGCGTTCTCTCTCCCTGTATCTACCTCCTTCGCCGTTCTTCTAGCAAATTCCATTTGCTTCCTTTGACACCTTGAGTGACGGAAAAAAAAAGCTCGTCTCTCTCCCACATTGATAGAAGAACAACATACATCATAGTATCATAAGCAAATAATCGGCTACAATCATGAGTAAAGCAGTTGGTATCGATTTAGGTAAGACTAGGTGCTAGTTGTGCTCGAGTTTGCATAAGAGCTTGGAATCTAACTCGTTGCCTTTTTTCAAACAGGAACAACCTACTCTGTAAGAACCGAAACGAGTGATTTTCATTACAAATATTATTGTGAATTATAGCTTACATTCATATCTCATTCATAGTGTGTTGGAGTCTGGCAGAATGATCGTGTTGAAATCATTGGTAAGAAAAAATTCGAAGCTCTCAGAAAAAAAGCGTCAAATGCATGAAAGTGATCCAAAATCGATGATATGACACCATATTAAAACTCTTTATTTGTTACCTAAATAGCCAATGACCAAGGAAACCGTACTACTCCTTCATACGTGGCCTTCACTGACACTGAACGTCTCATTGGTGATGCCGCAAAGAACCAAGTCGCCATGAACCCAATCAACACTGTATTCGATGCTAAGCGTTTGATTGGTCGTCGTTTTGCTGATGCTGAAGTACAGTCTGACATCAAGCACTGGCCATTCAAGGTATGTTAGTCTTAAGGTTTTGACTCATTGTTGCATGGAATTATGTAATCCATTTGTTATATTCATTGCATCTGTTATCATGATTATTGGTTGGCTTGATACTTACTTTTCTACCGATTCCATCTCATATAACAGGTCATTGACAAGGGCACCAAACCCTTCATCCAAGTCGAATTCAAGGGTGAAGTCAAAACCTTCACTCCTGAAGAAATCTCCTCCATGGTCTTATTGAAGATGAAGGAAACCGCTGAAGCATACTTGGGAACCAAAGTGAAGGATGCCGTAGTAACAGTCCCAGCCTACTTTAACGACTCGCAACGTCAAGCCACCAAAGACGCTGGTCTCATCTCGGGTCTCAACGTCCTCCGTATCATTAACGAACCAACCGCAGCTGCCATCGCTTACGGTCTAGACAAGAAGACTGCCGGTGAAAAGAATGTATTAATCTTTGATTTGGGTGGTGGAACGTTCGATGTGTCCCTCCTTACTATCGAAGACGGTATCTTTGAAGTCAAGGCCACTGCCGGTGATACTCACTTGGGTGGTGAAGACTTTGATAACAGGATGGTTGCTCACTTCTTGGATGAATTTAAACGTAAATATAAAAAGGACATGTCTGGAAACCCACGTGCTGTTCGTCGTCTACGAACTGCAGCTGAACGTGCAAAGAGAACCCTCTCTTCTGCTACTCAAACCAGTATTGAAATTGACTCCTTGTTTGAGGGTATCGACTTCTGTAAGTATACATTAGCATATGGGGGTTTTCGACATTGGTTGGGTGACTTGGAAAAGATCAACATTTGCTAACTGAATCTTCTACCTTTTACATAGACACCTCAATCACTCGTGCCAGATTCGAAGAACTCTGTGCCGACTTGTTCCGTTCGACCATCGACCCCGTCGAAAAGGTCTTACGTGACTCCAAGATCGACAAAGGCTCAGTAGACGAAATCGTATTGGTCGGTGGATCCACTCGTATTCCAAAGGTCCAAAAACTCGTATCAGACTTCTTCAACGGAAAGGAACCAAACAAGTCAATCAACCCTGACGAAGCCGTCGCTTATGGTGCTGCCGTCCAAGCTGCTATCTTGACTGGTGATACCTCCGAAAAGACCCAGGACTTGCTATTATTGGATGTCGCTCCATTGTCTTTGGGTATTGAAACTGCTGGTGGTGTCATGACACCTCTCATCAAGAGAAACACCACAGTACCAACCAAAAAATCAGAAGTCTTCTCTACATATGCTGACAACCAACCTGGTGTCCTCATTCAAGTATTTGAAGGAGAACGTGCCCGTACCAAGGATAACAACATATTGGGTAAATTCGAATTGACTGGTATCCCACCAGCTCCTCGTGGTGTTCCTCAAATTGAGGTTACTTTCGATGTTGACGCCAACGGGTAAGCCATTGTTTTATGAATAAAATGGAAGTCAGCAAAAAGCCATTGAGCACCGTACTTCATGTCTTCTTCAACATGCTCACACCTCTCACCCTCATTTATAATAGTATCTTGAACGTTACTGCTGTGGACAAAACCACTGGTAAATCCAACAAGATCACCATCACCAACGACAAGGGCCGTCTGACCAAGGAAGATATTGAACGCATGGTGTCTGAAGCGGAGAAATACAAGGCTGAAGATGAGGCTGCTGCCGCTCGTATCGCATCCAAGAACGGTCTTGAATCATACGCCTACAACCTCAGGTATGTATTGTCGACGGCAGTGGCTTTTTTGGTGTGTATGAAACAAGTTCTGACTTGTATTGCTTCGTAATAGGAATTCCATCCAGGACGAGAAATTGGCCTCAAGGTTGGAACCTGCAGACAAGGAAAAGCTCAACAAGGCTATTGATGACACCATCAAATGGTTGGACAAATCTCAAGAAGCTGCCTCTGAAGGTATGATATCTTTATTGTTTATGCGGTCTTTTGTCCTTGAACTCGTCGGTCAAAATGCTCATCGCATTCTCTCTCTTTCTTAGAATACGAAGCTCACCAAAAGGAATTGGAAGCTGTCGCTAACCCCATCATGATGAAACTATACGGTGCTGGTGGTGCTCCAGGCGGTATGCCAGGTGGACCAGGTGGCTTCCCAGGTGCTGGTGGTGATGCTGGTGCTGGAGGTGCTGGACCAACTGTAAGTTATTCAAGTTTGAGTGCCAACATTGGGATCCCTTTGCTCAAACCTTTTTTTCTCTGACAATAGGTCGAAGAGGTCGACTAAGGAACATCATTGTAGTTGTCGTATGCTACTCACACATTTCCCCATCCAAAAAAGAAAACTTTGCACAGCTATTATCGCCTTTCAGAACACACCCTCCATAGATTGCTTGTATACTTGGAATATCATCGTATAACGAGAAAAATGACGCTTTTGGCGATTTTGGCATTCGGTTATATTCTGTTTAGATTGCTCAGCTAGCGCTCCAATCATTGCTGTGTTTTTGATTGAAGTCCTGTTGGCAAATGAGCTTGCGGTGCGTGTTGGAAGTAAGTGGCAACGAATAGCGTTCGTCGTTCGCATATGACTTACAATACTATATCTGGCGATCTATGCTTGTTTTTGCTTGGTTTTCTTTGATGCAAGTGCTACAAGTACTGTTTGGCAAATGTCTAAAGTCCCAACGACACAATTTTTTTGCAATGTGCACCTATAATGATGTTGACGGTATTTGATATGTCATATTATAAAGGTCTATCTAACCGATCCCGGAACGGTAGATCTATGCAGAGAGCGCTCTGCCCGCTCTCTCTCCCCTCTGACGGCTGGTAGCTCTTGCGGCTGTCGAAAAGTTTTTGGTGAATATTTTTGGAATCAACGACAATCATTCGAAATCAATCAAATACCAGCTGCATCAATTGAAAGCACAGAATCGCTGCTGGTTTCTAGCTTTCGAAGCATGGTATTTGTTATTTTGATGAAGAAGCACATCGACATTGCAACATCAACGCCAAAGTGCCAATTGAGTTTTAGTTGAAATGGACCACGTTTGGTTAATGATCACTCGTTCTGATGCGCTCAATGGTCTACCCATGACTTGGGCGGTTGTCGACGGGATAGTCCCAAACGCCGCAAAGTCAAACATGGTTCCTTCACCTGCCTCATGTCCGTACTTGCTTTATCGCTATTGTATGTGCTCTGGAGTCATGTGGTCATCGTTCTCATCACTTCTATGCGATGTTTGATTGGGTTGCTGTTGTCATTGATGTCGGACGTAAGATTCGTGATTCCAAGGTTTTTTTCCTCGTCATCTTCGTGATGATTGAGCTCAGCATACGAGTATGATAGGCTCAGGTAATCAATTCCCATCGCCATCGTCTACCATCAGGCCAGAAGTGTGTACTCAAGAAGCCTTCAAATTTTCGTTAAAACTCTCACTGGAGAGGTGAGCAATATATCAAACCTGATTTATTTGAAACACACACTGAATTTGATCCTCTTGATAGTTAATTACACTTGAAATTGACCCATCACAAACCATCGACACTGTTAAAGCTTCCATTGAACACTAAAGATGGCATTCCACAGGATCAGCAACGCTTGATCTTTGCTGGAAAGCAGCTGGAAGATGCTTATGCTCTTGCACTTTATCGCATTCAGATGGAGTCAACTCTCCATTTAGTGCTCCGATTATGTGGTGGCCATCGTGGTAAACGCAAAGAGTACATGCTTAATAATAAACAGCCGATCAAAGTATATTATTGGTGTTGTGTGATGGTGTTTTTAAGTCTGCGCTCCGAATATGAAAATGCCGCCTATCACGCCAAGCTGCCATTTCAGCGTTTTTTGGCCATCTCATCGAATACGAGAATCAGCCAACTTCAGATTTCGAAAACTTCCACCATATTCTTGGTTAAATTATATCGTTTTATCACAAAAGTAACGGTGTGTGTGTAGTGTGCAAAATCCAAATAAGAGCAATAAAAAAGGCGTGTTAATGTGTGTGTGGATTTACAGATGGGGATGAAGTCGTGTGTTTAAATATAGTGTTGATTGTGTTTTAAGTTCTCCCTCCTTCCTCCTCCAAAAGATAGTGGCAGAGCAAGAGAAAGCAATAGCAATATAATATCGTTTTTGAGACAGCCTCAAAAAATCACACAATCCCCACAAGGACCACTTGGAGCTGCATATGGATCATCCTTCTTGTCGACTGGACCCCATACGGATGGGAGTAATGAGTCTTTTGTTGATGTGATGTATTTGATGAGACTAGATTTGTATTGGATTAGTCAGTGTCGATATAAGGCCGAATTTTTTGTTCGTGAAGGGAGAGGATTTGCGTCTTATACCTTGAGCTGGCCTCAGAGACAGGGATACGGTTCAAATCAAGTTGTTCTTTGAGACGTTGATTGAGTTCTACTAATTTCTTGAGTTTGATTTCAGACATGGTTGCTAAAGACGACGAGAGTGAGGTTAGGTTTTGTGAGTTCCCAATAGATACTTTTCCCTTATGACCAAACTGCGTATGCATATACGATCTGTTAGCTCTAAGAGCCTCCTTCCAATGCTGATGATTCTTCTGCTCCACATCTGAAGTTAGATTCGACATTTTAATGTCGCCATCCTTGATCAAGCTCACTCTCATCACCTTCAACAGTCAAATAAAAACTCCTGCGAGTTGGGAGTCTCCTTTCTAATACTCAATGATGATGCTTTTCATCCCAATACGAATCTTCATGTTTTCACATTTAATGTCGATCGCTTATGCTGCTCATGCCACTGCTCTCGGTAGCCCAGATAGAGAGCCTGTGACATCCACAGAATATAATTCAAATGGTTGCCATCATCATTCAGCTTCCCTCTTGTCTCGTGGTTCGTAGAATTTTGGCAAACAGCAATTTAATGTTGGAAACTCACCAAAAAGTTATATATGCGGAAGCTCCAAGGGGAGAAAGAGATGGGATCCTTTTTAAATATGCTGCAAAATGCTAGTCTAGTTTAATGGCTCTACCTTGTGGGTTTTCAGAATGATTGCGTTGCAAGATGCAAAGTGTCTGAGAAAAATCGCCGATGTGTCAAGTCGATTGGGAGGGAAGGAGACTCTGTTGCATTCACGAGGATTACTTTTATTGAACGTATGATGAATGAATAATGCAAAGAATTCAGCTTTGAAGTCCCGGAGATCGGGAGAACCGTTTACATTTGTGCAAAGGTATGGCTCGTAAATCAGTGGCATGGATTTAAACACATTTCCCGTCGCTTTGTAGTAAAAAAATATGTGCCGAATCGATACATGATGCTATCATCTACAATTTGTCCCTGAAGACTTTCGGCGATCGCATGAGTACGCATCCAGTTATTCCAAAATTACGCAAAGTGGAGCTTGGAGCTTAATGTCGGTGGGTCAAAGGAAGGAATACCAAACATACACGTATAGAGAAAATGGAATATCATCACTTGCACGTGCTGTTCAGCTTGCGTACATGATACAGTGAGTCAAAATCCGTTCTATTCGTTTTAAAAAGAACTGAAGTGGAAGACACCCACCACTGCTGTTAGACCTAAACACGTGCATCCAGTACTTATTATGTGTGAATATGCATTCCAGTTGCGTTTTAATCTTTGCTGCTTATCTTTCCATGGGTCCAACTGCCAAGGTATTTGGAAACCAAAACCCCACATACATCTAATAAAAACCACACTACATACAACCATCCCGACAAACACCCAACAAGTTGCATTAAAGACGTCCAACGCAACTTGAACTATAGTTCCAGTAGATCTACGCTTCCGGATTCCCTTCCGGTTATCTCATCCTTGCTCTACGTGGTCGTCGTGTTATTAGGATGACTGCCACGAACATGGCCACCAAAGGACTAAGATTCCATGCTGTAACGACGCTATTGACTGCCGCATGCTTGATACTCAGTATATTAGGAGTCCTTTTAACTTTCTGGAGTTTTATACCATCATGCAATGGATCGCCAAGAATCACAAACCAACTTTTGAACGGAAGTGTGAATAGGTAAGAAACACTAACCGCATTAACGCATTTGTGATATTTCATGGGCCGGGAATGTGATCCTGGGCTTCCTTTATCTGCCTCTTCCTTGTTGCTACCTTCGTGTTTTGTTTATCCTGAATCCCTAACTCTAAATTTCGTGTTCGACTAGACCTATACTGGAATCCCACTTTGTGGCTTCCGTATACGAGAACGATGAATCTATTGCGTTTGCTCCAAAGTACTATGTCGAGGATCAAGTGTGGTTTGAAGATCACCGTGATTACAGGTATCGATCCCATGCCTTGGCACAACGCCACCTACTTTTACATCCATTTTAACTCAGATCCAATGTTTAAATAGATTTTCAAGCCATTTAAATATGGAACTTGAAGATATCTCAATAGCATTACAACAGCTCTTCCAGTCTTGGTCGATATGGGCCGAATCCAATTTCATAAATTACTGGATAGCCCATGGAACGTTGCTTGCTTGGAATTTCAATGAGGATATCTTTCCTTGGGTATGTTTTTGTATGGGTGTGTGGTTTGAAGGGTGTTCCGGAAGTGTTCCGGTTGTTGTTGTGTTTTTGCGATGTAACATTGTGATGGAACAAGGATCTAACTCTCGTTATTCCTCTTATGAAATAGGACACGGATCTTGATATTCAAGTTCCGAACGATGTCCTGTAAGTTTCTTGTTTGATTCCGTGTTTCTTGAAATCCATGTTTGGAGTTCCATTTGCATGGTACAAAGTCCCTTTGATTGAAAAAGTGCTTATTCCAATCTCTTTCGCTGCTATAGATTCCAGCTCGCTACGTTGAACGGAAGCATATTTGGAACAAAGGAATCGCCCGTCATGCTCGATGTGAATCCAAACTTCAAATCAAGGAGGGTGGGAAATACCATGAACACAATAGGTATGTAAGGAAACCACGAATGATCCTTACTGAGTCGTCTTCCACTTCCATCATCATTCCTGCTTGAATCATGACTCGGCGCCACCACACACACTCAAAACAGACGATCTGACATTCCTTCCTTTTAGATGCCAGAGCAATATGTATGAAGACAGGTCTCTTCATCGACATAACAGGCCTCTCATATATACATCCAGCACACCTGTCGAAGCTACCGAAACGAGGCCAACGCCTCACGCCTCCGATAATACCAAATCCCAAACCAGTAGCTCCCAAACCCTCGCTATACGAACTCCCAAACCCACTTCCAGTAATGTGTAAATCACCACACGCATATTCATACTACGATCTAGTTCCCATCGAACCCATAACGTTTATGGGTGTCTCTACATGGAGACCGAGAAAGTACGAAAAGATACTAGAATCAGAATACGGAATCCGGTCTGCTATTATACCCGTAACTCGAGCACATGGATTCCTGTATGTATTTAACCCGGATATTGAAGAATGGGAGCCACTCAAATACTGCGAGAGTGTGGTGGAGAAGAAAGAGTCTTGGATATCGCAATGGAAGGAGACTCGAGATATTAACGTCGATATAGTCGTAACGTCACGGGCATTCAGACAACAGCCTCCATCACAGTGTAACGTGCTAGTCAAATCCACATATGGAATCGTCGGCACCGAATCCATAAACTTCCTACTACCATATAAATCGTTTCTGGATACTAGGCAACGCAAAGCTACCGTGTTTGCCACTAATATTGCTAGTACTGTGACTCCTGATGCACGACCTATCAGTCCATCGGATGGCAGGAGTAGAAGCACTAGCGTTGTAGCTGCTGCAGGTGGTGGAAGTAGTTTTGCAGAGAGTCATAACGAGGCTATTGCTAGTCTTGTGGAGGGTCGTGATTCTAGGCCACCACGGCCGGCACCGGAAATAGCTGCTGAGTTGCAGGAGGAGATTATAAGTCAGTTGCAACCGCATCCATAGTCGTTTTGGATTCTGGTTTAGGTATCATTCTGTAAAGGTCTCTTAACTCACACACACACATAAGAATGCATTGCAACACATATTGTATAATAAGAAGTCAACCAGTAAAGTCACTTCCTCTGAAATAAAAGTCAAAACCTACCAAAAACCACCAATCATTTTGTGCTGATGAGGTTGTTCAAGTAGAGATCGGTGTCAAAAATCTTAATTATCGTAGATTGAACGACAACAAGCTGCAAAATGCCCAATGGAGTGTTCCTCCTTATGAGCAACTAAGTAGTGGTGATATGCCTCGAACGTGGATCGAACACGCTACCTTAGCATCTTCAGTGCTACGCTCTCCCAGATGAGCTTTCAAGGTGGCTCAATGAAGAGGACCGTTTTCGTTGTGGACATAATTGTCAGTCGAGATCCCCATCTCGTCAACCAGCAGGTATTTTATATCTTAGTGCGATATCATAAATGGTGACTTGAATAGCTTGAATATGATAGACAAATGCAAGAAATCGAAGTTCTCTTATTACCTCGTGCTGTTGGTATAATCTCATGGCACACTTTTGTGTAGTTCTTGTCGTGATGCCAAGCGTGTGAGTAGACCCGTTATCACGACAATCCAAGCTCCAGTCGTGATATAAATGAAATCCAAGCTAAACGATTTGACGATTCTTCGGTTCAACAAGTAACCATGACGACTTCAATTCCAATTTTCATACACCCGTCAACTTTGGACGCAAGTGAGCGGCACTATTGAAAATTCTTAGTATCGGTGCAACTGGTAGTGTCTGAGCAGCTTTTTTGTGCATATTCTACAGATTCCGTTAGCTGCCAGTAACACCCTAGAGTTAACTGGTTCAAGAACGTCTTCTGGGCGTGACTTGTTAATAAATATGTAGACAAATGTATTTGGCGAAATGTAGTGGGTCCAAAGTGACGACTTAATTCAATTTCGTTCAATCTTCAATTTTGGACGCAAGCTAACAACTATCAACCAAGGGACATCAACATTATCGTCCGGCCAAAGATATATGTTTATGAGTGTTTCAAAAAACTAGATATCAAACAATTTCATCAACTGCAAAAGCAAGAGCATCACAGTTTACCACCCTTTTTCTTCAACTCCTCAGCTTGCTCCCAACTCAAACCCGCCAGTCCACTTTCAAACCCGGTCTTGCCTTCTCCCCATCGCGTCACCTCACGTTCCAACGTAATAAAGATTTGTTTAACTGGTTTGTAATTCGCAACTCGGTAAGCATGACCCTCTCCTTCTGCATCGTCAAAATAGACAATGTGACCAGCGCCTACTTCACGGGTCATTCCATCACTAGTTCCGAATTCAGCTCTACCAGACCCTAGGAATGTTGTCCAGTTGAGGTATTTGCTGTACGCCGGGTGCAGGGGTGCGACACATTCTGGAGCTACGTCTGAGAATGATATCGCTGCATGAAAACGAAGTGTTAGCAGAGATGGCCACAACAAACAACTTGAAGCGATTACCTTGCAACTTGACAACACCACTACTCAAAATCCCATTCCTCTTCCATACTTTGTTCAATTCCTGACCAATACTATCAATAGTAGATCCTCCTCCCTTCGTAACCCTCAATCGATCAAACGAAAATGCGACTTTGGCTTTATCATCCACAATAGTCTCAAATTCGTGTTCTGGAATCACGTCCTTGATTAGCAGCAGAGCCATTAGACCTTCGTTTGATGTAACTGTAGCTTTACAGTGTGCTTTGGTTGGTGAGTCCTCTATCTCGACACATTGGCCTGAGGTGTATGTTTCGGATGTGGGCACTGCGAGCTGGATGGCGAGAGAGCCCTTTAAGACCAGGATGTAGTAGCGGCCTGGGATTGCATTCAACTATTGGGTATCAATATGAGTTGAGGTTGGTACGACGACAGTGAGCAAATGTTGTACCGTAAAGTTTGATCCATTCTTGAGGGAGATGAAGACTCCAGATCTAATCTCGTCGCCTAGAAGCATATATTAAAGTCAAAACTTGACTTTGCTGATTGCCTAAAACACGTCAAGCACCTTTCGTTAAACCCATGGTGCGACCATACCTAATGTAGAGGGTTTGATGAGATGGTTTATATACAAGCAGCTGAATAGCATCAAGATCACTTACACTGGATGAAATCCAAAAATAATGTGTTTGTCTTGGAATGAGTTTCCATCGGTTCGTTGAATAGGAAATGGTCGCAATTCTGGTTTGATTTGAGATGGACCTACGATGGCTGATGGTTCAGGAGCTGCCATTACTTGAGAATCTGGATGTTGAGTGGAATATTAGCTCGGTTAAGGGCGACCACTACGAGAAAAAGAAAGGGAGAAGACTGGAGGATGTAGAAGTTGGAGCAAACAACGAGTGACGAGGAGTGGTACAAAATAGGAAGTGTTGAACTGGTCTCGTGATTTACGGTAGACATGAATCTTAGATCTTACATTCATGAATTCCGTGAGTGTTCCTATTCGGCATGCATCGAAATCGCCAAATGTTGTTAAAGTCAACAACCAGACAGGTATCGTTGATCTATCCATGCATAGACGTGAACAAAGTCCGAAAAGACTTACAAGATGTACGAAATTTAACTATCGGGTCTCCGAAGTAAGAGTTAGTTGCAGTCCAGCAAGGGTTTGATGTGATAGAGCAACTCTCCGTTCGACTACCCTGTGAAAACAGTGGCGAACAAAAGAAGAAAAGCTATCATGAGTACCATGAGAAGAAACAGATGACTATAACAAGTGAAGATTGCGAAAGAGAATAGAACATATTTATGTCAACATCTTGTCTTATTACAACTTTGCACGTAACTCGTTGACATTCTGATGCAACACATACGACATGGACGTATTCTCGGTATCGTTACCCTCAGTAATGACACTCAACCGTCTCTTATTCCCACGTCCAAGTCGCTCCATTGCAAACGTCTTGAGATCGGATAGTGTGAATGATTTCAGAGCTTCAATTCGTCGCTATAGACAAATATGAAAAGTTCGACAATAAGTACCAAAAAACCGCGCCATCAATTATTCAGCAACGCAATCAACAACACCATACCTCAATTAAATCAAAGCGCCCATCCTCTTCGAAGGCACAATACCCCAAAAACCTCTCTCGACCAGCTAGGGTATCGTGTGGTTCAAGTAGGCGAACCAGGGATGCAGACTTTATGGAATCGAATCTGGACTGTATCGTCTCAGATTCTTGGATTTCGGTTCTTGTGAATCCTTCCATGAAGAGTTCGATTCGGGATAGCAGGTCTCGAGCATCATGGGTATTACTGCACGAGGTGAGAGAGGTGTGAGTTCAAGTTGGTGGGATGCAAAAAAACCGGAGGAGTATTGTGCAAATTTACCTCTGAACGGCAGCTTGAATAAACAATCTCTTGTTGGCCATGAAAGTGCCACTTGAGACTATGTATCCCGTCTGTTGTTTCGTTCGTAGCTACACAGATCGGAGACAAGTCAGAAGCGTTGACTTTGTCAACATCAAGCGGCTTGTAGAGCACGATTTTTGTTCATGACTTTCTTCTTGCTCTACCACCACATACCTCAGAATAGAATGGTTCTCGCATCAGCTTTCCCAGCATATCCTGCCCAGTCCTTGCCCAATAATCACTCTTTTCACCAGAATCACAAACCCAAACCACAGCATTTCCTTTAACGTCCAAAGGCGTCGAATACAGCATAGGTCGAGTATTGGGTAGCAGCACCACCTCTGATTTCTTGACCAGTTCAGGATTACATGGTACACCAGGGAGCGAATTCAGCAATAGCTCCCATGCTCGTACTGCTTCTGGAGCAAGCACATTACCACCTACATACCCTTCAACAATACGATTACTAAACAAGTTCGATATGAAGGTTTGTACGTCACTGAACGTGACGATATCCATGGCGTCGGCGATAGCAGCTGATGTTGAGAATTTCCTATATATTATAGCCGATAACTTTTCCATGGCTTGCCTTAACGGTGACTCTTTACTGATGTTCCTGTATGATCTCGTCAATGATTCCTTGAAGATGTTGAATTCCTTAACGGTTGGTTGTGGTGCTTTGACTCGGGCCAGTACTTCACGTAAGAGGATATGGCTTTTTTGTGAATATCCGTCGATGGATATCCCGATGCCAGTTCCTTCTTTGGTGTATACGTCGTAATGCAAACCAGCTGATGTAGCATCATAGCTGATTTCATTCAGACGTTCATGGACGAATCGAATATACAAGTCTGCTAAGGCCAGACTTTTCGGATTGTCGGGTTGTATAGCTGGGCTTCTGAGTGTGAAGTTATATAATGATTCAGGCACAAAGAATGTATCATCCGTGTGATGATATAATCGTCCTTCCGGTGCATTCACAATTAATTGCGGATCTGCTTTTACGCTACTTGAGGATGCCTGTGATGACACCAGGACTAAGTTATCGGGTATAAACCTATTGGGAGCTGGGTATGATATCTCTGGATGTGGTTGCACATTCGTCCATATCTTTAAATCACTAGCGTTTACTTTGGCAACACCATATAGTCCTCCCATCCATTTCTCCTTCTTGTCCAGCGGGATAGGCAGATGTTGCTTCTTGGCAATCATGTACAATGTACATGTATCTGGTTTGAGTATGCCAAAGAGACGATGTATGGCATCTCGATCAAAGCGACTTATAAATGTTGACTGGGCTGGGAAGGATTCAATACCTTCACGACGTATGGATCGACAGACACTGGTTACTATATTGGCACTTCGCTGTTGGAACTCGTATCCGACTTTGGACATGGAGTTTATTTCCGTTACGAGGTACTAGTGGGGGTGAGAGAGTGAGAAATAGTTCGGTGCGAAAAATATACAGAATATATGAGATTGCCTGGTTATCTGCTGCACTTACCTCAGGATATGGCTGTGCTTGGAAACTGCCAATAGCAGCAAAGACTCGTTCAATGACGCTCTTGTAATTGGCTACGCCAGCTTCAGTCAATGTGACTGATATCTCGAATAACAGGTTCTGGCTGCCCATTTCACTACGTCCAGCAGATAAGCCTAAGCGAGATGCATTAATGTTGAGTTGGCCAGTTTGCAGACGCATGTTGCCAGTGCAAAAAAAGCAAATGTGTTACAGCGGAATGCACATCTGTCGCTTTGGCGCACTTTTCTTGAGTGATTTAACTTCTAAACGCAGCCACACCGTACCCACCTTCTGCCAATCCCTCTCTCTTGAGGAGAGAGAGCAGAGAATTCTGACCCTCGTAACCAAGAACATGACCAGCAAGTCGACCTGGTTTGGTATCCAGTGCAGAGTATTCGAACGGTATCTCCCAGCTCAGAGTCAATTCTTTTAAATCCTTTATCGGCTCAATGGCAACCTGTTGACAGGTACAGAACATACGACATGTAAGGTCACAGTCCATTACAATCAAACAAGTATTTTTTTGCTTACCAAACACCCTTTCAAGGACTCTGGGAAGATCTTCATTCCTTCAGTCACCAATGGCTTCAACTTGGTATCCGGCACAGCCGAGAAATACTTGACTACTAGATCTCTTAACTCGTTTATAGGCTCTTTGCCCATAACAACGAGATTCATGGCATTGGCTGAATACTTTTCAGCATACCAGTTCTTCAGATATGCTTGGTCTATTAGTTTCATTGTATCGAGATTACCAGTGTTGAATTGTGAGAATGGATGTGACTGGTTTGAGAGCTCCTTTCGGACGTGAAGCATTCTCCAACCATCCTGTTCAATGTTTTTACGAAACTCTTGGTCAACGGCTGTAAGTGGTATCAAGGATATGGTGAATTAATGTGAGAATCAAGTAAAAAGCGATGGTGAATCAGTGAAATAACAAAGTGACATCGATGACGTTTGGACTTTTGAAGACAAAAAAAAAAGCTACAATGAGCCTCGAAATACGGTTTGGTCACATACCATTCTGTTCACGTTCTACACAGGACTCGTTGAACAATGGCTCGTAGAAGAACCGTGAGAAACGGTCTAGAGCGCCTTCCAGAGCGTTTGGTGTGACGTTTGTAAAGAAGTACATTGTATGATCTTGCGATGGCAGACAATAGAGATGAGAGGTCGATTCACACGTGTCTACACTGATATGACGCATACCTGAGCTAGTATACGCGTTCAAGACGCCATTGTTATCGTAAATAAATCTTTCGTAATCGTTCTCCTTGGGATACTTTGCCGTCCCGAGAAAAAGCATGTGTTCCAGGAAGTGAGCAGTTCCTTCAGACCTTGTAGGGAATGCATGGTGAGATATGCAGATTCGAGTTCTGATCACCAAAAAACAGAGTGCTTGATGCTGTTTTGGGCACAACCGAAGTCTTTCACTACAGACATCCTCTTATATAACCACGTATACGAATGTAAACTTACAATCCATCACTCCACGATCCCGATTCTACAGACAGAGCAGCTCCAACATGAGGCTACAATAGTGTTGTGATACGTGTCAACATTTGATGTCCAAGCTTCCAGCTGTCAATGCTTCATACCGTAGAGGGATCTGATATAAGCAACACCGACAATCTGTTATTCAATATAAGCTTTTCCATGACCCGATTCCTGAGCTGCGGAGTCTTCACATTGACATTGAAATCCCATGGAAGTGTCCTTTTGATGCCAGCTGTTACAGATGATGCCATTGTGCGATGCAGTAGGAATTGTGGGCTACGTGGTATCTTGGATGTGCTGTATGAGATAGATGCGATGGCCCCACCTCTTTTCAATATCATAGTCGACTTGGGTTGGAACTGCGACGACGAGTATAGCGATCGGCGGTCTTTTGAGGAGTTGAGGTGGTAAACCTCTTCAGACTCTCAGAGTACGCGTGAATGTGCTTTGGTAGTGCATCGCATACTATGTTGGTTGTCGAGATATAGATGTAAAGTGAGGAAATAACGCGTCACGAATTTGGACTGTGAGTGAAGGAAATAAGCAGTAAGAGATCTACACTATTACACGTTACTTCGATAACTTCACGTTAGATGACGCAAGTGTAGACACTTTCTTGGCAAAATTCCCGCTCAAACCAACCGTGCACTTCCATTATCGTCAATTCTCGACTCCACCCAACGCACAAACAAAAAACAACCTTATAACTTTAAGCATCTACTAGTCAAGACATTAATCATGGTCAAAATATGCTGCATCGGTGCTGGATATGTTGGTACGTACCGTCTGCATCCCTCGTATCTCACAAAGAAACGCGCTCAACTCCAGCGTCGTTCAAAACAAATTTGATTTGATTTTTCAATTCCCGACGTATTGACTGATATGACAACCGTATATACCCTATGACTTTGATCCTGTACTAACTCCACCCTCAATACTCTATTAAAATAGGGGGGCCAACTTGTGCTGTCCTCGCATTCAAATGTCCAGACATTCAAGTCACCATTGTCGATTTGAACCAACGTCGTATTGATGCATGGAACTCAGACACTCTCCCCATCTACGAACCCGGTCTCGATGATGTTGTAAAGGCTGCCAGAGGAAGAAATCTCTTCTTCTCTACCGCCGTAGACAAGGCAATCCAAGAAGCAGACATGATCTTTGTTTCGGTAAACACCCCTACAAAGAAACAAGGAATGGGTGCTGGAATGGCTGCTGATCTAGAGTGAGTACATGTACACTTGATTTATGGGGTTTCTTGGTTTGGAGGGTGATGAGTTTGAGTGTAAAGGTTGAGTTGCACGTGCAACAGTTGAATTGCCATGTCATCTTGATTGCTCAATGATGAGAGTGGACGAATGTGGTGAATTAAGCTATTTGATCACAGATCATCTTGTAACGAGAAGAGACGATTGAATTGCAACACCTGATGCCTGCCATGTCACCGCATCCACACAAACACACGACCAAATCACTCACGTACACAAGTATATATATATATCTTACTCACCCATTCATATCTCTCTCGACTATAGATACGTCGAAGCAGCAACCCGTCGAATCGCTCAAGTCGCAACATCATCCAAAATCGTAATCGAGAAATCAACAGTCCCATGTCGTACCGCCGAATCAATGCGTAAAATCCTCGAAGCAAACTCCAAAGACGGCATTCATTTTGACATCCTGTCAAACCCTGAATTCTTGGCCGAAGGAACTGCCATCGACGACTTGTTCAAGCCTGACCGTGTCTTGATTGGTGCTTTACAAACTCCCGAAGGAATCAAGGCTCAAAAGGCTTTGGCTGATGTTTATGCTCATTGGGTACCCAGAGCTAACATCGTTACTTTGAACTTGTGGAGTTCTGAATTGACCAAGTTGGTATGTGACGGTCAGCGTAGTCCCTTTTTTGGCCTTTTTTCACCGAGAACAAAACTATTGTCGAAGGCGTGGATGTCAATATAAATAACTGAATCTCATTATGTCCGCTTTTACTTCGCCTATAGGCTGCTAACGCTCTCCTTGCCCAACGTATCTCGTCCATCAACGCACTATCAGCCATCTGTGAAGCTACTGGTGCTGACGTAGACGAAGTCGCTTACGCTGTTGGATTGGACTCTCGTATTGGCCCCAAATTCTTGAAGGCGTCTGTAGGATTCGGTGGTTCTTGTTTCCAAAAGGATATTTTGAATTTGGTTTACTTGAGTGAAAGCTTGCACTTGCCTGAAGTTGCGGCTTACTGGAAACAGGTATGTTCAATACAACTTTCCTCCTTTTTGGCTTGTGTCGACCTCGTGATCTCAAACGCAACCATTACTGCAATAGGTCGTCATCATGAACGAATACCAAAAGAACCGATTCGCCAACAGAATCGTTAAAGCTCTATTCAACACCATTACTCATAAACGAGTAGCTGTCTTTGGATTCGCGTTCAAAAAGAACACTGGTGATACTCGTGAATCTGCTGCCATCACGTTGATCAAGTTCTTTATGCAAGAATCTGCTACCGTCAACATTCATGATCCCAAGGTATGTTTTGTCGATAGTTCAAATGTTTTTTTCGTCTTGAAAGAGAGGACCAGAGGGAGACACGCTGCTGGAGATGTAGCAGAAGTGAAGGAGAACGATACAGCGAGGTTTGTAGAAAAGAGTGTTTGGAGAGTGATCGGAGGGAATGAGAGATCGGTTGGGTGCATTGGCAAACCGAAGACCAAAAAACGTGTAGCTTGGTGGTTCGACGGTGATCTGGACCAATATCTTGACCTTTTCTCCACATTTGTTGACTCTGTTGCATAGCGAGTTCTTTGAATACGTTACGTGTTTCCGTACACTCATGTTCTTCTCTCCTTACATTACAGGTTGAACCTGAGCAAATCGAAATGGACTTGACTGAACCAGGAGTTGGTACCACCGCAGAATGTAAGCCTGTTATTCGGCCTTTATCCCTCCTGTTTCTTCTCGCGTCACCTCCAACATGCAGCAGACAAACAAAAAAAACTAATTTCGTCATCGTTTAAAGTCAAGAAATTCGTAAACATATGCCCCACTGCATATGAGGCAGCGGCAAACACTGACGTCATTGTAATCCTGACTGAATGGGACGAGTTCAAGAGTCTCGATTACAAGAAGATTTACGACTCTATGCGTAAACCTGCTTTCCTCTTTGATGGTCGGTTGATTATGGATGCCAAGGCTCTTCGGTCTATTGGGTATGTATAAACGCGACTGTGTCCTTTTATGGTTATTTGAATATGGATTGGAGGACACGAGATGTGGGTCGACTGTTACGTCCTGTTGGAAGAGGTGGTTGGTCATTCGCTTGGACTGTCATTTTGGACAGAGAAAAGACGTTTAGCTACGAGGATGTGTGTGGTGCTGCAGCAGGGCGATCGGTGTTCATTAGATGAATCCGTTGACATCATTTTTTTGCTACATTCCTGAAGTCGACCCCAATATCTCCACAATCTAACTCCCAACCCACTTCGAAATAGCTTCCAAGTTGAAGTTATTGGCAAGACCAATTAAACAACACACACCGAGTTAAACCCCAACCAAGAGACACATGTTGTTTCCATGTACAGTAAAAACTTCACTTTTAGACTCAAACACATCAAACAAGGGATAAGAAAAAGTATCCAATTTCAACAGCAATATTTAGAAACAGAGAGTGAGAGGGGAGGAGTCATGTACGTGTAATGTCATTTTTTATCAAAAACAAGGATTATGTTACAATCGGTAGGTAAAGGGTGTTTGGTGTTAATGCTTCTGATGATTGCTTCCATTGGTGCCTTACAAAATACTTTGAAATGTGCGGTACGAATAATCCATTCTATTCAACACTAAGTGAGATGCTCGTTGAAAGGGTCGGGATGAAGAGATTCAATAAGAAAGATTGAGTATTGTGTTGGAAGGAGGCACCATTCATGATCTACTAGATTAGGTTTTCTTTAGCGGCAACATTCTGACAACATTTGGGAAATCCAACCTTCCAAATGGTTTCCAGCTCGAGCTCATTGGAAAGGACCAGTGCACACTCAGTTCAACCCCAAATAAGAAAGACAAAGTCAGTTCCATGTACAGGAGAAAACTTGACGTTTAGGCACACGCACACATCCTACAGCGATTTGACAAGCAAATATTCAGAAACAGAGTTTGGTAGTCATGCATGTGTAATGTGATTGTTTTATCAACGGACAAAGAATACATTACAACGGGAGATAAAGTCGGTAATCAACCCTCCAAAAATGTCAGCGAATGCGAATAGTAAGAAATGTACGGTTCACTCTACCAAAGAGCGAAGACCGTATGCACATGCATGCAAGCACCGAGCATCTGCCCTTCATCGAAAACAAGCAAAAAATCACAAATTGCTCCCAACCATCGCTCACACACACATCCTTCCGCAAAACTCCACATAATCACATCTATAACATGGTAGCATCCCCACCAGGCCCTCCTTCCAACCCAAAGCCATCAAACTGCTGATTCATTCCGATCATCACACTACCATTACTCATCATTCCGCCTGATGACCCACCGCCACCATTCCCACCATTACTAAATGCGACATTGGGTGGATTCCTAGGTACGTTCGGGGGCGCCAATCCACCATCATTCAAAATCCCATCTGTTCCACCCGGATACAGACACATGAATTCAGGTTTAGAGAAGTCCTGCTGGAATGTATCGTAATTGTACAGGTAGGTTTGTTCGTGAAGATGCCATTCGCAGCGCCTTTTACGGAGAAGGAGTGATGCGTGGATGTTGTTTTGGTCGTCAAGTTGTATCGGTATGCTATTATTATGAGGTTGCGTTGATGACGATGTTGGTGCTGTGGTTGAGAGGGGTAGTTTTATAGGTGTAGCGTATGGATCTGATAATGGTGTCTCGGTTCCAACGACTAGTTCGCAAGTTAGAGTGTATGATCTTAGATCGTTGACTGAGCAGCGAATCCATCCACGGACTGTTTCGAATGCGTTTACTGCTAATGGTTCTAAAGAAAGAGAAGCAATTATTGATATATGATCATCGTCCAGAAAATGCCTATTTCGCTACTCCGATCCTGAGACTGGGGATCTGGCAAAATAATTCTAAATATTTTATCGTCATCATACCTTTGAGTACAAATCTCACTTGCTGCCAATGCGTCCTTTCAGCATTTGGAGCAGTAGTCAAGATATATCCTCCTAGATTGATATCAAACCAAGAAGCTATACCATGTATCAGTCCTAGTAGAGATGTCGGAGTGAGTATGATTTTGATAATCTTATCATTACGAGGAATTTTGCCTCCTTTGATTGTAAGAACGACACACACCTGTAAATGGAGAAACCCACGACACTGGAATAACAAAATCTTGCAATTCTTGTACTGATATCGTCTTGAAATCAACTAAAGGAAGGGAGAAAGTAAATTTCCAAAAGACCAAAAAAAAACCAATGTGAAATTGTGGCAATACATACCATGGTGACTCGTGGCAGGAGCAGACAATATCCGATGATCAAAGTTTCCAACAACAGGTTGTCCAAATATCTCGTCCATGGCATCCCGAGTCAAACAACTGAAATCAACTCCATAAAAGTTGTTTTGTTCCCAAAAGCGAACTAGAGAAAAACCCCCGTTATGGAATAGAACTACCGAGCATTATCTCCATACGAACTCAATACCTTTAGCCATAGTCTGAGTCCACAAAGTAGCATCCGAGAAAGGAGCCACAAATATGTTTCCTGAAGAAGGGAGTTGACGAAGGTCAAGGACGCTGGCATGATATATTGGGACATTTTTTGCCATCAGACGTTAGAAAACGAGGGCCTACCTGAAGAAGGAATCATTGTACCGCCAGGTTTAAGATACCGATCTCTTGCAATCAAGTATGATTCAATCATACGTTCATGTACTAGGAATACACCTAATATTTTTTAAAACATTGAGTAATCCGGGTTGTAGGATTTGAATAATAGGTACTAGGAACACACCGATAGGTTCTGATATTAAAGTGTCGACTTTAGGAATTGGAAGGTTGGGTGTTTCGATTTTGGCTTTAGACAAAAAAAAGTCGGTTTGTGTGATGGAATGGAGGCTTTTTCCTGAATGAGCTCTGCCTTACATGGAATGACTTGAATTCTATTCCGCAGATACGGATTCTTCGTATCGCTAGTTGATTTAACTAGTTTCTCAATCTTTGCAGCCATCGTGCTAGCTTCGACAGCATAGACTTTTTCAGCGCCAGCTTGGACGGCAAAGTAGGATAGAATGCCTGATTCAAAGAAGCGAGTGAGCAATTTATACACGTTGAGAATGTATTTCAGCAGTTTATTTTATACCTGAGCCAGCTCCAACATCAAGAACCAACTTGTCTCTGAACGCCAAGGCAGAATTGGCCATGATGGCAGACTGATAGAGAGATGTACGGACGACATCTTGCAGCATGTTTTGCTATAAAAATGATCAGACATATTGCCTTGTCAACACTCAATCTGTCAAAACACATTCAAATCTCAACACACACTTGATGTCCAAATTGAGCATAGTCTTTTTCGTGATTAAGAAAGACAGATTAGAGGAAGATGAGAATTAATACGCGAATGATGACCGTGTCCGATTACGAAAGGAGGACTTACAGCTGGTTGTAATTGAGTTGAAGAAGGAGGTGTTAGAAAGAAGACCGATTGGCCGATAATGAAATAATCACAGGTGCATCGATAGAGAAAATTATGAAAATACCTGAAATATGACGGATCCCGAGCATCTTCATGCTCTTCCTTCTCCTTGTTCGCCATTGGCTTGAAACGTCGCTGTAATCTGACTGGTTCGGAGTTTGGCAAGAACAAGCAGAACTGAACGCCCACACAAAGAAGGGTCACGAGAAGGATACGTCGTGTCCAAGGTCGTGTCAATCTGATAATCTCGAATCAGCACTGAAATTTCGTTGCAGGTGTGGTTTATATTATTCTACAGAAACTACAGATTTTTACAGACAAAAAGCAGGTAATAAATCATCAAAACAGCCAAAAGACACCCCCAAAGATTACCCCTTCACTCGCAACCCACAATCAACAACCATATTGCTCTCCATACCCTCCATCTTGTATCCAGATAAATAGTTGTCTTCTTCCCAGCAGGTTAAGCACAAGACACCTACGTTGATATCATATTGAATATGAGCATGTGTCGATCTAGAATTCCTTCATTCATTCTCACCATTGTAACGAACTCCAACAACCAATGAAGCCTGATGCCCATTCCTTCCACATCGATCACAAAACACAGGGTACAACTTCTCATTCACGTTTACGTTCCTTAGCTGCTTTCTTCCCCTTGTTGCGTACAGATGTGATAGATGGTATTGCAGTTGCGTCATTACCAGGTACTGTATACACAAAGTTTGGTGGTTGGCAACGCAAAATATCGATAGGCGAGTTCTTGCCATATTGATGAAGACTGCGACGTTTGACGACAACCGCCAGATCCAATAACGGTGCAACATGTTTAACCACGTGTGCTAATGTTACTAGTACAGCTTCGAGAATGACACATTTGAAACCACTATTGAAGTATGATTTGAAGACGGTTTTGGCTTCGGGTGGTTTGTCCTTCCATCCTGCTTCATAATACATTTCGGATGTAGTGGAGCCGTATACAGGGATGGTGTTTGGATTCCGTTTTGCGGGGTTTGGCAAGTCGGGAAGCACCAAATCGTGTGGCTTGCTAATCTTAAATACTTGATTGTGTTCGCTTCCTGATGATGAAGTTTGGAATCCAAGCACTTTGGCATAGGCGTGCTTTGTGCACGTTCTGCAGATGATAGGTTGGGAACTAAACACAAAGTATGTAATATATCAGTAACATTTTTCCGCAATCGAATAATAACATGACGTTGCAAGACATCATTCAGTGTAAGAGCTCAAGCAAACTCACATTCGTTGGTGTTTGTATCAGATGTGATGACTTTTTCAAACACTCTCTTGATTTTGGTGGAGAGAGCCAATCATCAGACAGTCCAAGCTGCATTCGCTGTTTCAATTCCACCATAGTTGAAACTTCACCGACACCATCACCTAAAAATTCAGTATCACTTTTCTTTTGCATTATCTCTACTCAAATGATTGCCCTACTCGGTCCCTCCTGAACGGTTTTCGATTGACTTCAATCACCTACAGAAACTCTACAGAAGCACTCGGTCACCTCAGGCAGCCAAATCGCAACATTTAATACGGCCTTGTTTTGATATTGGGGGGTTACTACAACGACAATACAAGATTTACTGTCTCACAAATGATATCTTTTATCGATTTACGGGGTATTTCATTTCACACACCACAAGTCTTTTGTTTTGAGATCCAGCTTCCTCCTACTCTTTCTTCTCAATTTTCACCATCATAATCCGAATCCTCATCTTCTGATCCCAACTGTGGCTCTGAGTAATCCAATTTTCTGCGAGTGGTTCTTGCAGGCAATCTACGTTCACCGGAAGCAGCTTCACCACCGCCAGCACCTTGAGCATTCGATGTTCGTGTACTGTTACGACCACGATTACGGTTATCAGACAATCTAAAACCGTTCAGCTCCTGCTCAACATATTTCAATGCATTTACATCCTGATCTTGGGGACGATAACATTGATCAATAGAGGGAGCGGTGGATGATGTTGCCAATGACGGAATTTCCTGGTTTGCTACTGCCTGTCTCTCCCTCACCATGGCTTGCAGCTTTTCTAGTCTCGCTGTTGCTGTTTCTCGTGTTGGTAATACAGGTGAAGCTTGCCCGGCTATGGAATGAATGACCCTTGCATGAGCTACTTCAGGTGCATCAACCATAGATACATCATCATAGTCCAATGTTGGTGAGATTGGTCGTTCTGTTGGCTGTTGTGCTGAGGTTGAGATACGTTGTCTCTTTGCTGAAAGTGGCTTGTCTACTGATTTGTTTACTGGTTCTAGGGCCGGAGCGGCTCGACCTTTACTACCAGGAGTAGCGTTCGATTTCACGCTGGGATGTTGAGGTGCCGGTGGACGTGCTGGACTAGGCTGTTTTACAGGAGAAGGATCCCGTGGTCGCTTATTGGTCTTTTCGGTTGCTACAGGCTGTAGTATGGAAGAAGGAGCAGCCAAGTTGGGCTGGTGTTTGACGATACGAGGTTCTGATTCTTTGACTTCCTGCTTTATATCACGTTGTGGTGATGTTGGTACTGGTGGTAGACCCATTGGTGGCGCTGGAGCTACGGGCTGAGTGGCGTAAACTGCGGGGGGTGCTGGTTTAGTACCACTAGGAGGCTGTTCTGACGCAACAGGTGCTTGAGCAGCCATAGCAGGTGCAGGAGGCATTTGCACTGAAACTGAAGCCTCTGGAGGAGGTCGTTCAGCTGGTGCAGCAGAAGAGCTGGAGGCGGAAGCAACAGTAGGAGGCTGTTGAATACCTGATTAAGAATTGTTCAAGGAAAACAAAGTAAGCATCTCACATAGACTTTAATTCAGCTTTTGAAATATCCCTCTCTTACCTCGAGTTTGTCGACAGTTCTTGCACCGAAAACCTTTAATTTGATAAATGGAGCGATTTTCAGTGTCCATACCACAACGGTCATGAAACCAATTGTCGCAACCGTCACAGCGAATCCAATCCGCAGGAGCTTGGTGTTGATCTAGAAATGAGATTTTCAATACAAAATTAGAATGAACTTTGAAAGAATTTGAAATTTTTAAGCCGGTGAAGGCGAAACCACTTTCTTGCTGTTTTGGTACCTGCTCGTTCGTTGCATCCACCACAACGAGTACTGCTAAGCATATAGATATCCTTATGGCACATGATAGCTGCTTTTATAGTTGTTTACTAGTTGGTGTTGAGCGTTTTTGGTATAGTGAAGTGTGTTTTGAAAGTTGGAGAAAGTTAGGCGAAAGCAGCAAAGCAGCAGTCACCTGCGAGTTGAAGGCGCAGAGCTCACAGAGCACGTCCTGTTTTGCACCGTCTTTTGTCAAGTTTGTCCACGTATTATCGTGGAGAATCCTTGTCTCTGAAGTGTCGATAATATTCCTATTGCTTCATCTTTCATCGTCGTTTTTCGTTTTTTGTGTCATCTTCCAAAAGCTGCTCAAAGTTAAACGTAAGGGAGAGGTGCTAGCTATTTGAATGCTTGCGTATATAATATTTTTAATGTTTTTATGCTGTTGTCTCAGTATTCCCTGCAGTCCAAGGGTGTGCTGTTTCATACTTCCATTCAAAAATATTGTAGGCAATGAAACTAACACTTATTCATTTGAAATGGAACATATTGTATTAGACACCTGAATATTCAGCAGTAACTACATGATCTTCCTTCGAGGTACCCGATGGAGTATCTGCCGCATTAGTGCAGGTAGGAAGCTGCACGCCAATCGTTCATACCCTCACATTTCTTGGTTCTCTTGAATTGGTTTTGTTGAAGAAGCTTTTTGTTATTGAAGGAATATTCAAGCCCCTTTACTCATGCATTCTTTTTTTCCTGTAGATGAACACGAGGCTCGAGATTGCATTGCATGCAGCATCTGTAAAAGCTGGCGGCATGACCGATATAGAACAAATAATCACTCAGTAGATTACTACTGTAGTCATGATTATGAATCCCGATAATGTGTTGATGACGCTGAAAGTCGTGAGGTCGCTCGTCGACACGCCACAGTACAGCAACAGCAGTCTCCAATGCAGCCTCCACCATCACGCTCACATTTTAATGGCCAGTCAGCACCACCTAAACGTGGAAGCTCTCCGATATTTATAGATGAGGAGGATAGTTTGCCAGAAACCGAGACACGTCGAGTAGCTGGAGACGGACCATCTGGAAAGAGGATTATAGTACCCACATCTGCATCACATACTCATGAGGATAAATTACCAACTCGACTGCATTACAGCACTACATGGCAATCAGGAAGTGTCAATCCTCATGAATTTCAACAACAGCATCCAAATTTACACCAACAATCGGAGCCGATTGTACGTGGCGATTCCCCGATACTTATAGACGAGGATGAGAGTATGCCAGAAACTGAAAATCCTCGAGTAGTTGGAGGTGGATCATCTGAGATGCAGCTTGTAATTAGAACCTTAAAACCTACACTCAAGCTTCTTCCAACGTCGTCAACGACACCATCAACACCATCATTTTCCTCTCATCAACAACATAATCAATCAAAGCCTTATATAATACAACCATTTCAAACTCTATCTCAACAATAACGAGACTCGTATTCTCAGGACACTTCGATAATGCCTCCCAAGTGTAGACTACAGGATCCTGCTATAAACATTACAGGAAAAAGACCCAAAGGTCGTCCAAAGGATCAAAGAATAAGCCTAAGTTTAATGACGATGGCACCCCTGTAATTAAAAAGAAAAAGTCATCAGAGCGTGTAGCTGCTCAACTTTCATTCAAAGTCGCTCCGACGGAAGCATATGAA